CGTAATTATCCCAATAGGATATCGCTACGAATAAAAATCAACCGACCTCTTTCTTCAATGCATCGCCCTCACGGATCAAACTCCGCATACTCTCCTTGGGGATCGCCATAATATCTGCTCATCACACTAGCAGCATTGTTGAGAGCCTGGACGCTGCTTTTGAACGTGAACTCAACCACAGTTCGATTCCACGCGCGGCATATTTCCAGTTGTCATTTTTCTGCAAAAGAATGGACCGCTAAAGCAGCGCCCTCTCGTGGTTTTGTGTACGCCATTTCATACGGGGGCCGGGGGGGGGGGATTCGGGGGGGGGGGGGGGGGGGGGGGATTCACCGATTTCTATAACTTTTGTGGCGCGTAGCGGTACTTTCCTCGCCTTCCACCACTGTGACCCGGGTTCGAATCCCATCTGGGCCAACATGTGGATTGAGTTTTCAGTCCCTACCTGATTCCGTGGATTTTCCCCAGAATATCTTTTCCTCCCACCTCTAAAATACTGTATTTTTTTTCTCATTGTCTTCTCTCTACTAGGTTGATGTGATGTTTCCCCTAGGATGCTTTACCGACTAGCCTATATTCCAATACAGATACAGATACTGCCATGGCTCCTGTGAAAACCTTTCGTCTTCGGCTTCGGCTTTGTCTCCGACTTCTGAATCACTGAGAGGCAAACTAAACAAAAATGCTCCAACTTTTGGCTTCATATCAACCGATTGTATGTTCCTGAAGCATAACAGGCACCAAAATGTATAGCTGGAGTTCCAGAAGTTGGGACCTAAACTCTCCTTCAAAGCAAAACTATAGACGAAGCCAAATCCAGCCGAGTCGTTTCGAAAATGCTATTGTAAGTTTCTTGGTTTTGAATAGTGTCAGTGAGACGACCGCCTTGATTTTGGTTTTAAAATCAACGAAAATAAATAACAGAAAACGGAATCTCTTTGTTTAATGGGACACTGTTTGATGTGCACAACTCTCATTATACAACACTCGCGGAGTCGCGGGTACGGGTACGGTGGAGAGAGGTGCTATTGTATTTTTACGTATGTGTCTTGCCCAAGAACATTATAAGCATAACTTTTTTTATTCTCTAAAAATTCCGCAGATGCAGCGAATATTTTTTGGTTTAGCCTAATATTTTGGTGTGCAAGGAGCGGATCCAGGAATTTTTGCAAGGAGGGATCACTAACGGTTCCTAAACAAATTGAATGTTCGATTGTTGCGGACAGGCACCAGGAGGATATAATAACTTGTTTGTGTGTTAGAGCAGGGGTGTGGGCCCGTCTGAACCGGCGCCTGTGTGCCTTTCATTATTATGTATAAAGACATGAACTTTTGGACTTGAATTATTGTTAATCGTAAAAAGGTCACTAAAAAGGATCATTTTAAGCGAACATTTTACTATCAAAAAGCTTTACATCTGAATTAAAGATCAAACTGGTACTAAACACCCCGTGAAATGTAAAATCATCAAGAAATATGCTATGTGATTTCCAACGATGTTTTGTGATCATAAAGTTGTGCATGGTTTTCACTATTAGTTTAGTCGGAAAAGGGGGGTATCGTGCACCCTCGGAAATCAATTTCTAATCAACGTTTTTAGGTCAGAAAAAATGCGTAGAAAACGATTTGCTATGTTAAAAAATTCAAAAAATGTCCCACGTATTGTTTTTATGCAAATTAGTGCCGCCATTACCGAAAAATCTATTTTAAATTATATCTCAGCCAATATTGCAGATAACTGAACGAACTAGGTGTCTAAACCCATGTTTTCAAGGTCAGAGATCACAATAAAACTGTTCTGGAAGTAACCACATGTGTCTGTGGCATAGGAATATGCAAATTAGTGCCGCTAATACCGGATAATCATGTTTTTGGCATATCTCGGCCAATATAGCACATAACTACACCAGTAAGGTGTCTAAACCCATGTTTTGAGGGTCAAGTATCATTAGAAGACCATTCACGAAGTAACTATGTGTGTCTTTGGCATGAAAATATGTAAATTATAAAGTGTCGGTTTATCAGATATTTGATTTTTAGCCAATATCTCGGCCAATATTGCACTTAACTACACAAGTAAGGTGTCTAAACCCATGTTATGAGGGTCAGGTATCATTAGAAGACCATTTACGAAGTAACTATGTGTGTCTTTGGCATGAAAATATGTAAATTCTAAATTGCCGGTTTATCAAAAAATTGATTTTCAGCCAATATTATATTCAATTTCAGCCAATATTACAGTTTATTTTGAATATGATGGCTTAAAATAAACTTTGATCATTATTGCTTATCAAAAACCCTTCTGTCAACATTAGCAGCAATATTGGCCGAGATATTGGCTAAAAATCAAATTTCTGATAAATCGACAATTTAGAATTTACATATTTACCTGCCAAGGACACACATAGTTACTTCGTGAATGGTCTTCTTATGATACCTGACCCTCAAAACATGGGTTTAGACACCTTACTTGTGTAGTTATGTGCAATATTGGCCGAGATATTGGCTAAAAATCAAATATCTGATAAACCGACACTTTATAATTTACATATTTTCATGCCAAAGACACACATAGTTACTTCGTGAATGGTCTTCTAATGATACTTGACCCTCAAAACATGGGTTTAGACACCTTACTGGTGTAGTTATGTGCAATATTGGCCGAGATATGCCAAAAACATGACTTTCCGGTATTTGCGGCACTAATTTGCATATTCCTATGCCACAGACACATGTGGTCACTTCCAGAATAATTTTATTGCGATCTCTGACCTTGAAAACATGGGTTTAGACACCTAGTTTGTTCAGTTATCTGCAATATTGGCTGAGATATAATTAAAAATAGATTTTTCGGTAATGGCGGCACTAATTTGCATAAAAACAATACGTGGGACATTTTTTGAATTTTTTAACATAGCAAACCGTTTTCTACGCATTTTTTCTGACCTAGAAACGTTGATTAGAAATTGATTTCCGAGGGTGCACGATACCCCCCTTTTCCGACTGAACTATATTGTCTATTTGTAATATTAAGGTTGAGGCTGAGCTAGCTGAACCTTCATTAGGTTAGGTTTTGAGCCTTCTTTTGAGATTGAGCAGAGCCGTAGCCAGCGGGGGAGGGGGATTTACCCCCCCCCCCCATTACCCCCAAATATTTTGTAACGACTGCCCTTTTTTATTCGAGTCCCCTTTTTTCAACTGCTTCCCCCCCCCCCCCCTCCCCAATCGTCCGGTTTAAACAGCGCCCCCATTGGAAGATGGTTCCCCCACCTTTTTTTTTTAATAAGCTAGCTACGCCTCTGTTGAGTGGTGTTGTTATTGGGGAAAAAAAACTATTTTGGAACAAAATCATGAAGAGCAAATGATCCTGTATGCCTTTAGTGCGGTTGACGAACTTAATTTAAATGCATGATTTATTTCCTCGTCACATGCACGCAACACCAGCCGCCCGACCACCAAAACAATAAACATCAGGAACATGACTCTAAAAAAAGAATGTGCGATTTGCATTTAGAACGAAACGCGTAATACTTTGATACCCAGTGCTCATCTTCCAGGCGCGTCTAGTTTCACCGTCCCGATTTTCCTTCTATCGACTTTGCTGTTAAAGAGGTTGTGGAATACTCGAAGACATTTCCGTCATCTTCGGGTATATGTAGCCAAAGATGTGATGAAATAAAAACATGCCGTTGCAATCTGCCACTCGGAACAGTTTCGCGCAATCAAGGCTAACTCTATGTATAAATGTGCTGCATAGCAGTGCTTGTGGATATACGATGTACAAGTTCAAGCCCGGATTGGGCATGCACTGTCCCTAGGGCTTACGAAAAATTCGGTGGCCTACGAAAAATTGCCGAAAATAGCTGATTCAATTACTCCAAACTCGAAAATGATGTTTAAATGGTGATCTTTTTGGATAAAGAGTGGTCAGAAATTGCCCCAAGATCGCATTACAGAGCATCTACAATTCATTTTTTTTTTCGGGGCCCTCAAGCGCCCCGAATCCCATGCCGTACGTTAGGCTTCGCACTCGCATTAGTTCTGATCAAGATACACATGTAGGCAAGCGATTGACGCCCTTGGTGCCAACAGGCTTTTAGAGCTAGGACCTATACCAGTTTGCCCTCGCTTGATTTGTACAGTGCTTTGTACTTTAATAGCATGAATTTTGTGCCGGTGCCTATAGGGTGGAGTATAGGGCCTACGGAACACATGGTGCCTAGGGCCTAAGTAACATGACACTTAACCCGGGCCTGTACAAGTTATACTCTTTTGCAGTCATTTCAACTTCTTAATATCTTAAAACTTAATATCGCCCCACACTTTTTGACCGGGGGATGGGCAATTAAATCCCTCCCCCCCCCCCACACACACACACATACTTTTTCGTGATGAGAAACAAAAAGATTCGGATTTCGAGGTATTTCTCGAACTTCCCAACAACCAATGTAATCAATAGCTCTGAAAAATGGAGGGAAAAAGTTCAAAAGCTTAAACTGCGCGTACTGATGCAACCAGAGTAAGCTATATATGCATAAAGATGTACAAGTGTATCATGAGCAGCGCCCCCTAGTGTAATGCGGTGTCCACCCCCCCCCCCCCATCTCCGCTTTTGAATTTCCACGACCGGGCAATTGTTGGATTTTGATCACCCCCCCCCCCTAAGTCGCTGTCACAAACTTACGCCATAGTATCAAACGCCAAAGGGAAAAGAATAGCAGTCTAAATGACTGTGATTCGCGACGCTTCTTTTAGTCCCACTGCGATGATTGTGTTCCTCATTGCACTGTCCCTTCATTGGCGATTCCACCCACCTACCTTGTGATGATTCCAGGTCAAGTTGGATAACATGCAGTCCATCAATCGGGACGCTGTGCTAGCTGCTTCTTGATCATTCAACTTTTACCGATGGTGACTCTGCACGGACGAGGCTGGATCGAATTTTTACGCAGTTTATACCGCTCATCGCCCGAGTTGACAAAACTCCCTCTAAAGCCACGATGTCTGACGCTACTCCGACCGGCGAAGGTCTCTCGATTTCGTCTGTTTACGACAGTTATACGGAGAAGCAGTTGTTAGCAGCTTTGTACGGTCTGATCTTTGTCGCCGGTGTGCTAGGCAACAGCTCTGTCTTGCTGGCCGTGGTTCTCTCCCGTAAACCTCGCACAACCACCAACGTTTTCGTGGTCAACTTGGCCGTGGCGGACCTCATCACCTGCCTGAGTTTGCCCATTATGATCCTGGCAGTTCTGAGCGAGAACAGGGAGAAGCTGCTCGTTTCCAACAATCTCTGCTCTTTTCAGGGATTCGTTCTCATCGTCTGCATCGGCTGTAGCTTTAATAACATCGCGTCGATCGCCGTCTACCGCGCCATGATCACTCGTCAGAGGAATCGAAGCCGTCTAATCTGGTTGTTCAACCGTCGGTGTGTGGCTGCTATGGTCGCTATCAACTGGCTAATTCCCTTCGCCGTCGGCATCCTGCCCGTCGTATCCGAGTTTGGCTCGTATGAATACGATGATAAACTGAACACCTGTTCCTTCAACCCGACAGACCAGGGCTCCGGTACGTTCTCCATAATCCTGGTGGCCATCTTCTACCCTGTGCAGCTCTTGGCCACTTTCCTGAGTTATTCGTTCATCCTATTCACGGTGAAAAATTACTTCAGAAGAGTCAACGTCCTCTCTGATGAGCCGCCCTTGGCCGTCGTAGGTGGGGTCATGAGACCACCTTCACATTCACAACCAGGAACATCCCAACAGCATCATTTATCAGGCTCAGCCCGCGAAGCCTTTTCAGCAAGCAACCAGGAGTTGCCGTTAACTGCTCCAATACTTTGGGGAGGTAGACACAGATATTTACCCGCCAATCGTCCGCCTTCACACGCTGCCGCTGCCAGACAGCCAGCTCGAGCCAGGCCCCGATTTCGTCGCAACCTGGACGTCACCTTCAGTTTATTTCTCGTTGTCTTCTTCTTCATACTGTGCTGTACCCCCTACTCGGTACTGATCGCGCTTCTCGAGGACAAGTCTCAAAAGTATGTCCCCTTTCTGGGCGCGCTTCTTGTCAGCAATAGCTGCATAAACCCAGTGATTTATACGGCCCGGCACCCAGACTTCAAGGCAGTTATTCGCTGTATCATGCTCTGTAGATTCCCCAAGATACCCATGAAATCGGCCTTTCTCTTACGTTTGCTCCGGTTTCAGAGAAGGTGAGATCACGTAAAGGGAAAACGAAACACAATTTTCTCTCTCGAACTGGACGCCATGTGCGGGGGGGGGGGGGGGGGGGGGGATAGAGGACGTCAGCGAAAGAGATGAACAGGTGAGCTGCAACAGTACGATACTGAGTAATGCATTGACACCTCTACACAATTGTCCTCCATTGGAAGCTTATAAACGATTGAGCAAAATATCTATGTCTGTATAAAATAATAACACGAAACGGAACTACATAGAGTCCATGTGAATTTGGTTATACATTGCTGAATCGAATTCAAGGCACGGCCAGCAACAACATTTAATGCTCAATTGTTTCCCCCTCCTCCCCTCCTCGGGGCCCCCGGGCTGCCCCATCCAAGACGTGGGTGACAAATCCCCACCCCTCGGGCAAACTTTTAGTGAAAATCTCCGACAAACATAATTGGGGCGCACATGGTTGCCTTTTCATGTAGTGCGCCAATGTTAACAATGTTTTTGAATAAGCAAAATCAAAAATCCTTTACTTTAAAAACAATTATCAATGTTCCTTGCTTTTCATTAAGTGGAAATAAATTTAAATGAGTTTGAATTGTTTCAGCGCAACGTCCCTTTTCCACAGGGGCGGCGGAACCGGAGGGGGGCGGACACTTGCCCCCCCCCCCCATTTTCCCATACAGGCCAACAAAAGTGCCCCCCCCCCCCCGGAGGAAAACAAAACTGCCCCCCCCCAACTCAACGTATTCATATGATCGCGCTACTAATAAAAAAATTCTCCTCCCTTGCAATGCAAAACTGCCCCTCAACTTGAACACAAGTATACCCCTCTTGCATTAACAAGATTGTGGCCCTTCTACAGATGGAAAATCCTCGAAAGCACAAATACCCGTCTCGCAATAACAAAAATTGTGCCCCTCTCGGGATGGAGAATTGGCCATCAAAACAATAGTGCTGCACCTCCCGCGATAGCTTCTCGAAATGGAAAACGGCCCCTCAAAAGCACTCAATAGTGCCCCGCTCGCAACCGTGAAATTGTCCTCTCTCAAGATGGGAAACTGGCTCCTAAAAAAATAACAGTGCTCTTCACGCGAATGAAATGGTCACTGACCTGGCCATCAAAAGCAACAGTTCAATGTTCAAAGCCTAGTGATTAACGTTTCAGCTCAGCTCAGTGGACACGTTTCGACAAAAAAGTCAAAAACCATGCGCAACCTTTTCATCACGAAACACGATTTCGTCTACAGCACGTACTCTTTATTTGCAAGAATCAGTCAAAATGACTGATCGTTGGCAATCATCAAGTTGATTTCTGCTAAATTACACATTATGTCGCGCGATGTGTGACAAAGGGAACCCTTCTTTTTTAATTGGTCATTGTGTTACTAGAATCTCAGGAATTCTTTTGAGATTTCTAGGGGGATGTGTAAGGAAACAATAGTCTAGGGTGTGTACAGACCTTTATCATGCTGCCACCATTCCAGTCTTGTTCCCTGCATCCAATAACAGTACTGAATGATAATGTTTTTGTGCAAAAAGGAACCAGACTATTTTCCCGTCCAGCCTCGCTTTGGTTACGTTGATTTGAATGGGAAAAATCAAGATGGCCGCAACATGATAATGGTCTATAGGGCATAAGGAGATTTGGGGGTACACCTCTGCTATGTCCCAATCGTGCTAGGTATAAAATTACAGCAAGTGAGCTGAATTCACGTGGGTTTTTTGTTTAGTACCATACAGTCTTTGATCCAAGTAAATCTAGGTCACTTTTGGGATAAAATTGAATGCATGTAAATGATCCAATGCCTACAAAACATAACCTGTGGAGTTCATCTATTTAAACGACAACCCTTTAGTATCATAACATTTAATTAAGATGTATTTGATATTCCTTCCCATTAAGGGGTGGAGCTTAATAAGCCTATAATTTCGGATGGCCTGTAGAACCTTCACATCCAGCTGGTATGATTTTGTGGTGTTTTTGTTGTTTCAATATATACTGTAACAATTAATGCAAAATGGATCTACTCATTCTATCCTAAATGGAACCTTTGGGGTGTGCGTTTTGTTCCTCTAGGACTGCGCGTGAGTACGAGTAGATCTATTTTGCATTAATTGTTACAGTGTACATTAAAACAACAACAACACCTCGAAGATAATGACGTCACATCCTACAGATTACCACGAGCATCGGCATTTTGGGCGTCAAACTTACGTGACGCTCAGCTCGATAACAGCATAGTGTGAAGATCGGAGGGTGTGAGTTCGAAACCACGTTTTTCCGATTCCATTTTATTTTATTTTCTAATTTGCGGCTTGTGGAGGATTTATTTTAAAGGGAAATAAAGTCCGAAATTCATAACGTTCGAATTCATTTCTGTTTTTTTTCTTGTTTTACATATTCTCATGTTTAGGGAAGTAAAGAGTCCAAAACCTCATAGCGTAGGGCCCGACACCCCATTCGCTTATGTCGTTTGGGAAAAACAATTCGCGGCCAGGTTTAATGCAAAGGATCTGTACATGTATTTCAATTTCAGCACGTACTACGCACGTATAAACATTTGTATAATTTATGCCGAAGTGTACGATGTGAAATATCTGTCCCTGGCCCTTGCGTGATATATTAGCGTCGGAATACCCGGAAATGGTCTCAGTGTAGTGGAAAATCTAAAAAGAATCTGTTTACGAATACGACGCGGTAATGGACACGATCATTGACCAGGCCTCGGCGTCATTTTTAATGCCGGGTTGCAGACTGTTTAGTAATTAATTCCACGTATTTTTGGCGTGTGTATTGTGACATCGAGTATGCAGGAAATCGCTGTGGGAGTTTACGGCAAAAATCACTTCAACTGATTCGATGAAAACCTCTTTAGCTACTGTAAGTGAAGTTGTAATAGGATTTGGGCTTGATTACGTGCATGTCATGTATCCGGATCAACAATTATACACTCTCAGATCACGGAAGGCGCCCTATTATGCACTCTAATCATGCCGGAAGGCAACGGAAGATATATCTACAGGGCGAGTCCCAAAAAACAACCACCCAAATGTCGGGACTATTGTTTTAGTGAAGTTCTGCATGTAGCACTTTCAAAATCTAGGATACAAAAGCCCAATTTATAAGCTTTCTTTTGGTACAAGAATCATTCAAATCACTCGTGTACTTTTTAAGTTACGGGATTTTATAACACAGCCGCCGTTTTAAAGTTCTGTCCACGGATTACAAAAACGTGCGCGTTCTTTCAGCAAAACGAAAACAATTCACACACATCCCGATGTGATTTGTTTTAACTGAAATAACACTTATGCCTTTTTGTGATCCGTGGACAGAACTTTAAAACGGTGGTTATGTTAAAATCCTGTAACTTGAAAATTATGATTTGAATGATTCTTGTACTAAAAGAAAGCTCAATAGGAATTGGACGTTCATATCCTAGATTTTGAAAGTGCTACATGCAAGACTTCAGTAAAACAATAGCAGTCGGATTTTTACTCACCCTGTACTCTGTAACTCTTTCCTTTCTTCTTTGTCGACTTATCTTTTTGTATAAGAGAAAAACGGGCTTTCAAATAATTGACCTGGAATTCTCATATTTCCAACGTGTCATATTATACTGCCGATGTTTCTCAGTTTGTACAAACATAATAAGAGGTCCGATGCCTCATAGCTCCGACGCCTCGTAGGTCCAACAAATTAAACGCCTCGTTTTTCCGACGTCGGACTTATGAGGCGTCTGACTTATGAGGCGTCGGACCTATGAGGCGGAATAAATAAATTTTATGTCTCATTAGTCCGACGCCTCATAAGTCCAAAATGTCGGACTTATAAGGCGTCGGACCTATGAGGCGTCGGACTTATGATACGGCCCCGTGGCAAGGATACTTGACGATGAAGTCTATTAAAAGTCTTTTGTTCTAATTTGAACTGAGCGGCTCTCCATCGGCGACTTTAGTTTGAAAAAAATAAATAAAATGCTTTAGATCGACTCTTAGGATTTTTGAAAACTTAATTTCACTGGCCGATTTAGTGTGCTGTGTCTCATTTGAAAGTTTGTAAAACAAGTATCTAATGAGGCATTTCAACGATTTTGTGCTAATCTCCTCATACGGAAATTGGTGCGCGCCGACGGGGGCGCGTACTGCGCGAAGTGGTGCAGAACGCAGCGGTGTTAATACCGGCGGTTTGAGTAATTTTTCTTCCCAGGATGAATAATTCAGTAGTTTCGATCGGGCCATGTGTTTATTCATGAGAACAGAACAGCGATATCAAGAGCGTTGTTGTTATTTCGTCAATCAGTTACGTTAAATCATTTTAGTCGCCTAGTGGATAGCGTGATGAGCTGTGGATTCAAAGATCCCTGGTTCGAATCCACGTCGTCGCTGCTCACTTTCACCGTTTATTTTTCTTCTCTAAATTGATCGTTGAGATCATTTTAATTTAAGGGAAAAAAGAGAACGAGAACCTAAGTGTCTTGCAATGATTCAAAGGAAAAACTGAATTATGCATGACATCACCCCCAACCCTCCTAGGACAAAAAAAAATCGCCGGTGGTTTATAATGTGACGGGCTCTCAGCTAATTGATTAGAATGGGTGAACTGTATCAGGTATTTATGAATGATTAAAAATATAAAAGCTTTAAGAGACGTTAACATTGCGGTCATTTGATTAAACAAAAGCAGTCTAGTTCCGGTTATGATGTTTAGCATAAATTTGCCTTTAATATAAAACCCAGAATCAATTACCATCAGGCTATATAAGCATTTTGTTTGTTACAAAGTTTTCTCTCTTTTCATAATAGCTCATAATTATTAAAAAACAAGTGAAAATAAAATTAAAACAAGTTGGTACAGCTGTCCAACTATTTCAATTTGCCGATCATGCCCCAATTCCTGACATGCACCAATGAGTATCACCCGTTATCCACGGAGCCAAGTCTCCTGTATAACGTCAGATAATGTCAAAGCATGCAGGTTTATGCGATCTCGCGCCTCAGAAAATCGATTTTACTAAATGGTGACGTCATTTCATTCCCAAATCCGGACTAAACGTATGATAGGTCAATTAGAATGCAGTGTTTTGTAATACAACAACAGCTGGGCGCGTATCGCGTAATAATGCAGAGCGCGTGATGTCTAAAGGGTATTTTTTTATCCATGTCTATGACGGACAACGGTGAATGACCAAAGACCCGATATAGAAAGCGCCCGCTGATTGGTCAAAATCTAGAGGCCAAGATGCGGTTGTCTTGCAGCGGATCAGCGGATCTGCATGCTCAAATGTTATAAACCATGGCTTAATAGACTACCATTTATATTGTTACTGACCAATGGCACCTTGCATTGAAACGTATTTCTTGTGAAAATAGTTGATTTAGGCTTTCAGTAGTGAAATGGATAAACGGCGTCGGGACCGAACAACGGCTCTTAAAAAGTGTTCTAGAATTTCGGTCAATTTTTGATGACCAGTTGCTGATAAAATAGGCCTAGGCCTATGCAAAACACGTCTTGGCAATCATCGGTATAGTGCCCACGCACTCCCTGTGCACGAGATCAGTCACAATAGTCCCACTGTTGACTACAAAAGGTACTAATGCATAATTATACAAAATGCACTTATGCATAATTATAGGGCCTTCAATTTGACATTTCCGTTCAAACAGTCTTTTGTGTGATACAGCTTTCAACTAAATCCACACGGGATTCGCTATGGCGCCCGATGATGTGGCAATGTGATCTTATCACTTCAACATCCAAGCCAGCCACTTATAAGTAGATTCATCGATTGTATTCGACCATTCCAAATTTAAATTGAACCTGCAGGGCCTGTAACTGCAATATAGTAAGGCTGATGTTCGCTGGTCAAGAAAAACGACTTGAATTTTTGAAGTCATTATTTTGCCTCTTTGATTAAAGTGATACAGATCCGGGAGGGGGGGGGGGGGGTTCGCCCCCCCCCATGCTCTGACACCAAAAATTTAATAATAATTATAACAACAAGTGCACATCAGTAATGTGCTGCATGACATATATGTCCGCCTGTCCGCAAAAATCGGACGTATACAAAAATCAGACCGGCCCGACACCTAGTCCAAGTATCACCCGTTATCCAAGGAACCAAGTCTCCTGTATAACGTCTGATATGTCTAAACATGCAGATATATGCAAGCCGCGCGCCAGCCAATCGGAGTCGACTTTACTAAATTGTGACGTCATTTCATTCCCAAATCAGGACTAAATGGTTTGATTGGTCAATTCGAATGCAGTGTTTTGTAATACAACAGCCGGGAGCATATCGCGTAACATGATACAGAGTGCGTGACACAGTTTTTTTTTATCCATGTCTATGATGCGCAACGGGTGAATGACCGAAGACCCGATATAGAAAGCGCCCACTGATTGGTCAAGATCTAGAGGTAAGGATTCGGTTGTCTTGCATATTTCGCCATGGTCTATTGCATAGACTACCTGACACCCCCCGCCCCTGCAAAATTTCCTGGATCCGTCCCTGTAATACTGTTAAACGATACTGCAAAATGATCAATCGCAGTGCACTATGATCATGAATTCATGAATTTATTAACAGCAATCTCATATTTCAGTTTTTTTTCTGCATACATTAAGAGTCTAAAATACATACTATAAATTCTAGCTTAACGCACGTTATGGTTAGATCAATGTTTCAGAATTCCTATTTACATTAATGGACAAGTTATGAATACAATCCATGAAATGTGACCAGACTGTAACTAACTTGAAAGTACGTGGGATGATAATTTTTTTGGGGTGCGTTTTGTATGTTTGAAGTAACAGACAAAATTGCTTTAAAAAACCTGACTCCATCTTCAGCTTTAATAAAAAAAATGCGAGACGTTATTTGAAGTTCCCCTTACCCAAACCTTTTAAATCAGTTACAATCTTAAACACCAAATTTTGGTAAGCTCTGGGCCGTGTGTACCATTAAGGTTCTTAGGATGTTGAGTCACACAACAGCATACGCAGACGCCCAACTTGTAGTGATAGCGAGTACCGTGTAATGAGACTGTTATAATACAAGTTATGGGGGTTGAGACAAAAACAATTTGTTGAAAAGTAGCCAGGAATTATTTTACGGTCAGTCAGCCGTCACAAAATCTAGAACTTGGGGGGGGGGGGGGTAGTACTGGATACGATCTTACTAAGGCTGTAAAGGCCGACTGAGAGAAAATATTGGGGAGAGGGAAGAGGTGGTATCCAGTGAGAAATCCAAGGCTGAAGGTTTTGCACCATATTCCCTGAAATCCACAAATCTAGCCATAGCTGGCATCAACTAATAAACGTCTATTTTTGGCCCAAAACTTCCTGAAATTTGGTCAAACGTTCAGAAAAGGTGCACAGAGGCCAGGAATGAATCCCCTCAAATAACATTTGAAGGTTTGCATGGTGAAGGTAGCAATAACATGAAGACTTACGCTGGCACCATGTGACAAATCTCTTTTGTGGGTTTGTGGGGTTCTGAAAAGATCCGGTGGGAAAACTCAACGTTTTAGACAGTATACTCTGATCTTCTGACGACGGGCAGAGCATATACCCGAAGTTTTGAGTCCCGCCCCCGGTCGTTTTCACATCCTCACAACTCATAAAAGAGATTTGTCACACGGTGCTACCGTAAATCTGCATCTTATTGAACCCCCTCAAGATTTCGGCTCAATACGGTGGGTATCCACCGAGACTGAAGGTTTTGTAATACATGCACTGAAATCCAAAATTTTCGCCATAGCCGGCGTCATCCAAAAAAGTCAATTTTTTGGCGCCGTCTGGCTTCGCCCCTGGAAGTGGTTGTCAAACTAAAATCAACATCTTGTGACCGGACAAAACACATTTACTGGTACACTTTTCAAGCGAATAGCATTTTTTTTTTTTTACAAATTTGCACAATGAAAATCAATACAGTGAACCCCTCCACCCATATAATATATCTGTATCATTAAGATACAAAACTGAGTAAAACGTATCAAACAAAAAATGACGGGCAGTATATGGTATTTATATGCATACAGGGCGCATAAAAAAAGGGATCCGGAGTAAATAATTTTTTTCTCAAAAGCAATATGTCTTAAAAAGGAGCATGTTTGTCCACTCATATGGGAAAAAAAGGATGACTGAAATTGATCCAAGCCATCAGAAGTTATGCATGTTTTACTAAAAGAACCCATTTTGACAGCTGTCCATGGAACGCCATTAAATTGGAAGCTAGTGCAGATGCAGATTACACACAAGCATTCAAATACGTATTTTAATAATTGAAATCTAGACTGAAACATTATTTTTACAGTCAGATTTGTGTTTTGAGTTATGAGGAACAAGTCAAGTATTTTTCTGAAATATTCATGACAATTTTTGTATGTTTTCCTTTGCAACTTCTCGTTCGTTCATCGAGGTGGGAAAACGTCCATGTTTCATTGTACTCAATGGGTATTCATTAGTTGTAGAACAGTAAATGATGGACAGCCGAGTTTGTGATCTTTTTATTGAAATAGACATAACTTGGGAATACAGTAGGCAATTTACGTGAAATTTTCACAGTTACAAGTCAATAATAAGTACTTTATCCCTTGTTTTTTCTATGCAATGGAGCAAGCCAAATATTTTAAAAATATTTTTCAGATTCAGTCACTTTCTTTTTGACTCGCCCTGTATAAGCGCTTTTGCTGCATAAGTACATTCATCAATAACCAAAACAATAACAACATTGTCGGATTTAATCCTTTCGATATAAAAAGGCACAGGAAAGATTTCCATATACGAAGTTCACTCAACACCCTGTGTACAAACCCTATGAGATTGGACTGACATTTTTTTAAGTGTTTTCTAAAAAAATGCTTGTATTTTCTCACTGCTCAAATTGACTTTGATGACATGAAATTGCTATCTGGGGGCTTGTTAGTCAATACAGAGGAAAATTAGTGAACTTCGCATATGGAAATCTTTCCAAGGCACAAAACATAATACAACTGACAAACTGACCACAATAAAATGTTAAAACTGAATAACATGAAATGAAAGAGTATGCTCTTTTGACTGCATATGATCATATCTGAAATACTAAACAAATCACTATAAAAATATAATTCTTAAAGTTGCCGTTTTTGATTTTCATCTCGAAAAAATAGATTTCTTTTCTAAATTGCTATTTTTCTAGCAACACAAACCTTATTCAATTTTGAACGACCGAACAAAAATCGGCCCACGTTTAGTTATTGAATGATTACTTTACAATTTGGAATTATTGGCTGCCAGACAATAATTCCATTCTCGTGGGGGAGGCTGGTTCCCGCCCCACAATCAGCATCGATATTGTATGGACCGGGAGCCAGTCTGCCCACTAAGCGGTCAGTTTGCGCCAAAAACAAGAAGGTTGCAAATGTCAAAAAAGGGGGAGAAAAACACGGAGGTTTTCTTTTTGAATAAAACATACAACTTAAAACTTTATTAATAGAAAAAAAAATCAGATTTGTTAAAGAAGTTGTATAATGCTCGAAGACATTTCCGTCATTTTTCGGGTATATGTAGCCTAAGGTGTGATGAAATAAAAACGACTATTGTGTCTGTCATGAAATGAGTACAAAAGGTACTTTTGAGAGCTGTTTTTCAGGTCCTGTTCCGACCTGAACGTGCAATTTGTGTAAAAGTTGTCGTTGGGGGCAGCAAACAAAACATAGTAAATCGTGACGTAATAAACGGGACTCGTTTATACCACGCTGCATCGGGAGTCCTGTTTATTACGTCACGATTTACTATGTTTTGTTTGCTGCCCCCAACGACGACTTTTACACAAATTGCACGTTCGGGTCGAAACAGGACCTGAAAAACAGAATCTTTCATAATTTAATCTGACAAGAAAGACCTTTCTCCATTTTCTACCCAGCTAGAGGGATAAGGAGTAGCCAAGATCATCGTCCTCACCTTTATCTACCAAGACACTGGAATTAATGAAAGAAAAGCATTCTGCTTGGTCACTGACAATCACTGACTATTCGTAAGATGGAATCTGTGTGGGGGTGATATTAATTCAATATGGGTTTTTACCCAGCACTTACGCATTTTATACACTGTATACTCAGTGTCTATCCTTATGAAAATGTGTAAGTTTGGTTGCGGTACCCGCTGCAATATCAAATTCGAACCAGCCAGCCGAGACTGGCAAGGTCGGTGGTCAAGTGGTCAGACATCTGCACTAGTAAGCAGGAGGTCGTGGGTTCGAGTCCCACCCGAGTGGTTTGTGAATTTCATTTCTCACAAGCCGTCAGACAACACCGAGTATATACAGTGTTTATAAAATATGTGAATATAAACCTATTTTGAAAACTACACGTGTGTTTGTAGGTATTAACACAGAGCTGATCTGATACACCGTGCCCTCTGGAGACACGCACACAATAGGGAACAAAAGATTGTACACATCTCCACAGGGCAATTTCTATAGATGAATACGTCTCCACAAGGTTTTCACGAAATAGATATATGGATTTTACTCGAAAACTAGGAATTTCCAAGGTGGGTTGATCCGTTGCAAATGGAAGAGTTTTAGAAAAGGAATATTAAGTCCGAATTTCAGCCAAGGAAATTGATTCTGGTTAAAATAAGAGCATTTTGAAACTACACTTTCAAACTCGAAAACTTTACTACACGAGAACAAAGAAATGTCTCCACAAGGATACAAATTTCAGTATGTGTGTGGTTCCGTAGATACTGGACTGTGTAAAACTGCAAATCTAATTGGTACGTGATGACATTATCCTAGGGCTTCGAAAAAATGCATCTTTAATGCGATGTCACATGACACATGATGACGTCATTGTGACGGTACTTCAATTTTCAACTATAGCTCGTCCCAGTACACAATTGAACTGGTAGTTTTGGAGATATATGGCTTTGAATTATGCACCTTCAATGCTTTTTAAGACGTCTTGATGACATCCAACATTTTTCCAAAATTTTGTGTGAATTTCTAGGACCTTTCAAACCTATTACAAAAAGAATAATAAAATAAGGAATGTTTTTGTTTGCAAGATTTTATTGATCAAAGCTTATAAAAAAAATTCATAAAATTTAAACGATGACATCATCATTGTGATGTCACTTAAATTTCATTTATTATTATAACATGTCCCTGTCTATGTACATACCAAGTTTCAATCCAATCTGATTTGTACTTACGAAGATGTAGGCTTTGAATAATGCAACATTAACGTTTGGTTCTGGTTCCAACCTTGTGCTTCTTCCTCATAAAAACAAGTTTTATGATTTTAGCCTCGACTTCTTTTTTTTTCTCATGATACGTTTAAAGGAAATATACAACATTTTGCTTTTGCTGCAATTTTTCTGAAATAAATGGATTTGGAGGATTAGTATGCTATAGAAAATATTGTTAAACTGTCTTGTATCATTTTGGGTTCGGAGATGCTGGAAAATCTAAGAAAACCAACCATGTTCTTGTGTTCTGGTTCCCTGACCCACTTAAAATTATAGACTTTAGGGGATTGTCAGGTCAGAGAATCAGTCTGGCAGGCTTGTACCCCTTCGCAGATGTGTAATCAATTGCAAAGAAAATGTGGAATTACTAAATATGAAAAAATAGGAGCATTTAAAAAAAAAAGAAGCCGGTTTTCTCCAACGATGGTCGGCTGACCAGCGTTGGAAAAATACAGCAGAAAATGTCAGCACACCAGGATCCACAATTTTACAGGATGCTTTAGACTGTCTTTCACTAACAATCCAGTAAGATATTTCGTTATAATTTAATCATCTTGTTTTTTGATGTTTGCAAATGTTGTATTCTCCCTCTAACTATGTCCTACGTAAATAAATAAATGAACTTCTCAAATGGGACTTACGTGTCAGCAAGTTTGGCATACAGAGTCGTTTCCTCGTCCTCAGCGTTATCTCTGTAATCCTTGTCAATCATCTGGCTCTCCTGATTGCCGTTATCACCCACGTTGCGCATTTTCATCCCCTCTGTGGACAGGTAGCAAAATTTGTCAAAAGATGATCGGTTGAAGTTATCGAATTCAAGATACTTGAGGAGGAAAACTTCCTGTCTCTCATTTGACATAAGTGTACAATTGACATATAGTCAGGCAGATTGGTGCACAATATGATGGAATTGTAATTAAAGAGGTTGTGGAATGCTCGAGGACATTTCCGTCATTCTTCGGGTATATGTAGCCTAAGGTGTGATGAAATAAAAACGACTATTGTTTCTGTCATAAAATGAGTACAAAATGTACTTTTGAGAGCTGTTTTTCAAGTCCTGTCATGCCTGTTTCGACCCGAACGTGCAATTTGTGTAAAAGTCGTCGTTGCGGGCAGCAAACAAAACACAGTAAATCGTGACGTAATAAACAGGACTCCCGATGCAGAGTAGCATAAACGAGTCCTGTTTATTACGTCACGATTTACTGTGTTTTGTTTGCTGCCCGCAACGACGACTTTTACACAAATTGCACGTTCGGGTCGAAACAGGACCTGAAAAATAGCTCTCAAAAGTACCCTTTGTACTCATTTCATGACAGAAACAATAGTCGTTTTTATTTCATCACACCTTAGGCTACATATACCCAAAAAATGACGGAAATGTTTTCGAGCATTCCACAACCTCTTTAAAGTTCAGGCACAAAAAGGGGATACAGTTGCCCAAGCCAGATATTCATTTTTCTTCCAGGTCGGTTCAGTTTCGTTTCGGTTCGGGTCGGGTTTGGCTTGATTTTTGTCGGGTCGGGTCGGTCAGATTAGGGGAGTTCCATTCGGTCGGTTCAGACTCGGTTTATATCTATATTGTTTCGGGTCGGTTTGGCCTGGTCAACCACATCTTACCAAAGGCTTCATTGAGCATGGGCTGTTTGCTTTGGTCCTCCTCCCTGGTTCGGTTGGTCACGAAGGAGAGAACATGGTGCTGATTGAAAGCAGTTGGGCGGAACAGAACGGCAATGAATGTCAGCAAAAGAAAAAATTCAATTTCCCAGAAGGAGACATTCAGCCACAGGGTTTGCCACGCCTACAAAGATCAAGAGGGCACAGATTGTTATATTTAATAATGGGCTAAAGATGGGTTATTATCAACCTCGTCCCCAGGGTGTCGAGCAGTACGCGCCCACCACTACCTGCTCTCTCACCCTGGTATTGGATCATTTGCATGTGCAAGATTTTTGCACACGTATGCAAATGAGGAACAGTCTGGTGCCTGGATATGCGTTACACATTAGCGTTTGTTTTTGTATGCGGTGTCTGGGGTAAAAACAGAGTCAATTCGTAGCAGCGCGAGCACGGCGTGAGTTACACGATAAAAATCCATTACTAGCCAATTGCGGTATCCAATCAGGATACAGGAAGAAAGTTTCCTATCCAGGGTTTACTATCGGAAACGCGGTTGGAAATAAAGTAAGCACTGGGGACGAGGTTGGGGTTATTATTTATTGTTAACACCTGATCATAATCTACATGTCTGGAAAGTTTTATAAAATTCGGCGGACCAGATCGCCAATCTCGAAAACTAAAGCGTTTTCGGCCTCTCGTCCCACGGACTAAAATACTTCGAACAGTGAAACATTTTACTGTAAGCCTACTGTGCAATTATACATCATTTGTGCAATGTCTTTAATATTTTGACATATTTATGATGCTGAAAGGGTTTAAAACAGGAGTAAAAAAGGATGAAATACCTGTTCAGGTGGACAATAAAAGGTATTTCCATCAAATTAATTTGTACTCTTGTCATTTTATGTGCTGTGTTGTTTGTAACAGCAAGGATTAGGACATGCACGAAACAGTTACAGTGAAAATCCCTTACTGTGGTATTTTGTGTGTGTACAGAATGAAAAATAATTACTTTTACATAATTAACATTTTCTCAGCAAAAGTGTTATATTCATGATTGTTTCAGTATTTTATAAGAAAAGCTCTTAGATTCAATCTGATACCGAAAACATAAAAATGCACTTATCTGTTGTTTTTTTTAAAAGGCAAATGTTTTAGAGTTGATTTATTTTGGGGTCACCCTGTTTATGTCTATGAAAGTTGTTTGTCCAATGTCAGCGAGGATCCCATCAAGTGGCTGTTTCACACTTGGTGTGAACGTGAACGTGAATACAAATTCGTGATGTCAATGCAGGTATTCACGCTTCTGATTTGCAAAACTTGAACACAAGTCAACACAGGCAAATTTTTGCAGCGAACGTTTCTCCGACGTCAACTTTGCTTTGCATTTGCATCCGCGTCAACTTAAACTTAAAATGGGAGCTGAGCATTTGTAATCACCTTGTCGCAGTCAGTCCCACGATGAACGGCCATTAACCACGTGCCAAATATCAAACTGGCAACAATACAGACCACGAGACCGACGGTGAAGAGTTGGTACAGAGAGAGTTTGACCGTGTTGCCACTCTCACGTAGTTTCTTTGTGGTCCGACGTAGACTTCTGAAAATGTGCAGGCTTTGTTAAGAAAAAAAAACAACACTTTATCACAGCTCAAAGTGAGTATTAATTGTGTCATCAAAATCTTTTAAAATTTCTGATTCAAAGTTGTATCCTCTCTCAGTGATCCTGTTTGCCGTTTTGCAGGTTTGCTGCACTACTAATGTTGCTAGCATCCAGTGTTGTAGGACTTGAGTCCAGGAGTCGGATTCGAGTAACATTTTTCGTGACTCGGACTCGACTCGAGTCACATTGGAAAATGACTCGGACTCAGACTCGACCAACATCAAATGTCCACCCTCAAACCATGTTATATTCGTATACTAGTCCTCTTTGTACTTGACTGGCTGACTCCATTGACCCACTGCCTGACTACATGTAGCCTGGTTGTTGGCTGGTGAAGAAAGCCTGACGCGGATTTCTTTTCCATACCTGTGGGTGGAATGCTCCAAAGTCACAAATAATTCAATAGTTTCAATTGGGCCAGTATTCTTATTCATAAAACAGAACCATATATCAAGAGTATTGTTGTTATTTAGCCAACAATGTAGCATTTTAAAGTACGGACGTCGTTGAGCTACCACACAGTAGCCTTGTAAATAGCGTGATGAGCTATGGATACAAAGATCCCTGGCTCGAATCCACATCGGCGCTGCTGATTTTCATCGACTATTATTCTGCTGTGAATTTATCATTGAGATTTATTTATTGTTGAGTTTTATTTTAAAGCTATAGTCCATCATTTGCAGCCATCCGAGAAGTAACTGGCGTAATTATTGTTGAAAAACAAACTTGGTTGAAAGATAGTAAGGGGACTAAACTCCCTGTGAAATTATTCTTTCTGGGAAGCTGTCATTTTGAAGTAATCAACAAAAGAAGGCATTTCCAACGGTGATTCTTAAGAAGCACCGTAGGAAAATTTAAATTAGTAGTTCGTTTTGTTATTCAGCGCAGCGCGCACAAGGTTTGGAACGACGCACACGCACGCGCGGTTGCTATAATTCGTCAGATCAGTGCGCTACGTCGTGTATAGCTGCAATTCAAAACAATTCAAAACATGATTCAGTAACTTTTGATTTGAAATTGAGATCTTAGAATGCTGTTTTTCTCGGAATATACAGCTGAAGCTTAGCTGAAACTTCATCAGGTTAGTTGCTCAGTATCCTTCATTAGATTTTGAACTCTTTTGTTGCTTCAAACGAACAAAATGCACAAATTACAAATGATGGACTATAGCTTTAAGGGAAAAGAGAATGAGAACCTATAAGTATCTTGCAACGATTCAAAGGAAAACTGATTTATGCATGACATTTGAGGAAGTCAACTACGGAAGAAAAAAAAATCACGAGCCGGGCAGTGACCCTGTAATAGGTTAAATCCTTACGAGATGTGTACAAAAAGATGTATGACAAAAACAAAACGAATTTCCAGCGAGTAGCCATTATGGATCAACTGAATAGAATTGTGTGTGCACACTCTGGGATTAGCTACATGCATAGGTTTGTTAAAGGATATATAAAAGCAGATGACTGCATCTAGCACAGATATCAGGAGAACTGCAATCATTTCGTACTGCTTATTCTGCAAATAGAAATATAAGAGGCAAATATCTAGGTTTAACAAATACAGAAAAATAATACAGGGTTCGCCCTCAACTTTTTGAAACAGACTCATGGGCCTTTAGCCCGCATGTGTTTTAATTCGTTCAATAGAAGTTTTACATTTTTGCACAAGAAAGCAACACCAATGTGCATTGTGCATAAACGCATAACGTGGATCCTAAGGCAATCTTTAATTTATACGCTAGCAACATCGGCACAGGATTCCGCAGTGCCACGGCATGAAACAAGCCGACTGCGCGTCAGTATCAGATTTATTTTTTTTCTACGACTGGCTTTTCTAAAAAAAAAAACCGCGGAAATTTCAACAATTTTTATTAGCCAGCTGAACAACTTAGGGAATGGTTTGGACTAATCTGCCACTGTTTTTACTCGCATTTGGCAGGCGGACTACCGCTAAGGTCGAACCCTGACATGTAAATGCATATAAAAACAACCAATAGATTGACATTTGTGACATTTAGTACATGTACAGAGCATATTGTCTGTTGCGAAAGTTTAATGGTACCAGTGAAATCTGATTTTTGACCATTACCACTGCATGATATCGAATCTGACTCTAATTAGGAGCGAATTTCATGGGTAACTTGTCACCAGAGAAGTTACGATGTCTAGAACGGTGCATTTCTCAGACCTACCAAGTGTCACGCATCTGGCATGTGATACACGCGCTATGAGTCAATTCACGCGCTCACATGTCGGACAATCGTAATCACACACCTCACGCTAAATTGTTCTAAATATATATATATTTGGGGGTTGTTTTCGTGTTTGGGTTAAGCGTTTTGGCAACTTCGGTTCTGCTCAAAGATCGCATAGCGCCGCGCAGCGTGGTTCTGCATGAATGACAGTGGTGGTTCAATAAAACATGTTTCTGGTTATGGTCGCAAAAGTCTTGTCAAGGTATCCATTTCTTATTAAAATCAAATTGCGGAAAAAAGTTTTAAATGAACTAAAGAAGTAGGTTTATTCACTTAAGTGGACGTCGTAACCACAGTGTAACATTAAACTGGTGTGCTGTGATGTTTATAAGAGTAAACAAAAATAGCATTTTTATAAACATTTGGCAATAGAAACATCTAAATTAATTGTTCTTTTCAAGTAATCTTTTAGATATTATCAAGATGCCTGCAGTTTATGAAAAAAATTAGATCAAGTTTAATGTTAGTTACGGCGTCCACTTAACGTTAGTTATGGCGTCTACGTTAGTTCAATGTCCACTTATTAGTGAATAACCTACTCCTCCTCGGGAAGTTTTTTTTCCGCAATTTGATTTTAATCAGAAATGGATACCTTGACAAGACTAAAAGAAGCCCACAATTGCCTTGTTTGATAAGAGAAAACTAACAACATGCAGCTTTCATCTTGCTTCAGATCTCTAACGAACCACTGATTGCCAGTATTGTGTCCTTAAACATAATTGACTATACAAACACGCCAATTCAATTTTACATATACCAGGCACGAGCCTTAGTGAATGCACTGGCAAGAAATTACCAGTTGGGTTGCCAATCAGGATGTACGTGCGCCTGTTGAAAATTGACTATGGGCCAATTAAAATATTATCAACATCATATATATGCATTTTTTTTTCTCCAATTGAGGTAGCTGACTAGCCAATGTTTGATGAAATTAGAGCTAATAGTCCTTACATAATCTTCTTGGAGTCCAATCATAGATAATACCACGCCCAGGCAAAAGTTTGCAATCCCAAGTCCCAAAACCAGGCGAATATCTTTGCCAAGGTTGGGTCTGTTGCAAACAAAAGGGGAAAACAAATCAAAGAAATGAAAATACAAAAATCAGAAAATTGAAAGCATAACAATTTGAGATTTAAATGTTTTTTTAACCACTTTTCGCGATATTGACAGGTGCGGATCCGGGGGGTGGTTTGGGGGACAATGTACTATACAAAGGTAAAGCCCTCTGAAACTACATGTATCGTCTCCCCTACCCGTGCTGAAATCAACAAGTGTCCATCGTATGCATAACCCAGTCCCAATGCATACATTGAACCGTTCACTCAATCACAGGTGTGTACACAGGGCGGCTGTAGATTTGGGATTTTCTACCCGGGTTGAGCCACCCAAACCTAGTCTGGACCAAGATTGCATTATACCTGTTTACCGTAATTTCCTGCGGATAAGACGCGTCTTATCTGACTTTCTAGACCACAAAAACATCGCTGCGCCTTATCTACAGGTGCGCCTTATCTGGTGTCGCTTGAGTTCAAAGTGACGGTCTTTGTGTGAAGAATTCTTTCAATGCCGCAATCAATAATGCGGTCAACCAAGGCTCAACTCTCCAGACATTGTGACCATATTTTCATTCCAACAATGCCGCGATGTGTTGATCCACCATGATCGTGCTTTCATTCCAACAATGCCGCAATGCGTTGATCCCCCTTAGTGATCGTGCTTTCGTTCCAACAATGCCGTCATACAAACGTTTTTCTTTGTGGCCGTTTTTTCATTCCGAAAATGCTGCAATCAGAATTACTTAAACGTTTGGAAATCGCATTCACTCAAGTTCTATTGTGTGAACGTTGAGGGTGTTTATTGTACAGGATATCTTCGAAGTCTGCAAGCCTGAAGATCAAGATGAAAACAGTGCGAGTCGGTAAAAGCGGCTCAGGAAAGTGTACTTCCGGCCCGAGCGCCATGTTATGCATACAGAGACCGCACGAACCTCAGTGCACGTGTGGCCGAACATTTTGTAGAAACACGCTGCGGTGTATCATCAAGTCCGAGCGGTAAAATCTCGTTAAAATATATATTTCAACGGACAAATACATACACAGAGAAGAGAGATCACGTTCTGAGAATTAATTTGCGGAAATTCTCTTTCTCCACCGATGTATGTTATTTTCTACGATCCAAATTCGTCCTGATACGCTACTGTAGTCATGCACGGAACATCATGGTCCGGTACCGTACGTAGGCCGTAGTCACTGGTTCCTGGCCCACATCATAGCTTCGATTCTGTATAGTAAGCATGCGATGGGAACCAACGAATACTGATGGCACTGCTGCCGCACGGAACATCGTACAGCGGCATGCCTTTGACGACGTGCATCACAAATGCGTCAGAATTACAGGCCTTTTCGTCAAGATTTAGCGTGTCAAGATGAAATAATATCGTGTAAACGATTATGTTGTGCATGCAAATGGCGTGTGTAATATTACTGTGCGTATCGGCGGCTGAAAATGTGATCGGCAATTTGTTTTCTGTGTACGGTGAGTAATTATACTGACACTGTGACAGCTCGGTTACTTCTCCCACGCGGTCTGGGTAAATTTTCCCGTGTCGAAAGTCCAAGTGCGGACAGTGGTCACATTTGACCATTTCTCATTTTACTATCGTCTCGGTAAAACCTTCCAAAAAAAAAGTCCAGTGCGGACACGGCTTAATTCATCCTCCGAATAGTGTGATCATTCTAAGGCAACACAATGGCCCCTTTGTGGCGATGTACCGACACCGGGTGACGCCTGGTGTTCTTCTGTGTGCGGTCAAACATGCGTCTTATGCGGCGGTGCGCCTTATCTGTTGGCGTTTGAATTTTTTTTGGGTGATTTTAGGGACCTGCGCCTTATCCGCCGCGCGCCTTATCCGCAGGAAATTACGGTATATAACTGACATACAGATGCTTGTCATTTGATTGGTGGAACTCACATCACATGACATTCGTTATTGCTCCCACTCACACCGGGACTCAAAAAGTCCCACTCACCCATGGGGAATGGGAAATGGTCTTCAACAGTTAGGATCATGACGCGTTATTTGTGTGCAAATGCATGCTGGTTCGCGCGTTCAGCATTGCGCGTTGCACGTATTGTTTCAAATAGCCACTAGCCAGCGCTACAGAGTTGGGTTCAAACATTTTCGCAAAGGGGTGGTTTGGAAGAGAGAAAGACATTTTTCACTAATTTTGTATTGAACTAGAAGTTCACATTATATCATATGAAAATTATCGATATTCATGTCAGTTTATAAAACAAATATTGAGTGGCTTCAAATTGTAAGATGGGAGGAATATTATCGCTCGGTAAAACCTGGACTTTTCCAGGTTACTCGGGTTCGCCTCGTGAAATGGAAAAGTCCAGATTTTACGTTGCAATAATATTCTTCCCATTTCACTCTGAGCCACTCAATATTTGTATAATAGAATGCTAGACCTGCGTAGAAGCCGTGTTGAATCCTTGCTAGTGTGAAAGAGGTTCCCTGAAATCTCTTGTGTTGGATCTACAATCCTGGCCAAATCTCGCTCGGCCCCCAACCCCTCGGCCCCAACCCCTCGAATGTTGTCATTCATTGCGCAGTGTGTGCTCCATCAGCTGGAGAGAACAACATTGACCAGGGGAGCGGGGGAGCGGGGGAGCGGGGGAGCAGGAGAACGGGTGACCGTGGCAGGCTCAGGAAGTGTCCCAACCATTTTGGCTGGGACTGTAGGTTCAACACAGATTTTTCTGGATAGAGGGAAAGCACCCATTATAGTTCTGCAATGCCAGCTTGCCTTGTGACTCCGTGTCCCAGACTGACGCTGAGAGTGAGCATTCTAGCCACAGAACGCTTGGAGCAGGAGATGAGCTCAGCCACTACGGCAGCTCCCGGCATGGCCACACCGTAATCGTCGACAGTCTTGAACAAGGCACAAGATATGGCCATCACCAGCAGGCCTGCAGTATTCAACAAAGGAACTTCGTGTTTTTGTATGTCAAAATATGGACTTCGTATGGGACTAGTAGATGGTGCTTTAAATCTGTGGCCACTGGTGAGAGCTACATGTGTGCTTATACTACACCATGCGTGCTTAACCCGGGGGGCGGAATCCACCTCCCCCCCTCAACTTTTTCCGCGATAGCCTTGAGAAAAATTTTTGTTCGCGACCCGAGCAGTTCTGACTTTTTAGCCCTCGAGCCTTGCGCATCTTTTGATACCAAAAACATACAAATCGGACCACAGGTTGCCGCGCACCGAACATTTTTCCGGCGCACACGTGAAAACTGAATTTCCCCATAAACGTAGTGTACACAGAGCAGAATTACCATTCGTGCATATGAATAATTAATTAGCCATAATTCCAAAACCCTTCGACCTATAGTCATGAAATTTCTTGGGTATGTTCATGATAAGTTGTTCTATACATGCACCGAGTTTCAAAATTTTTCGTCAATGATGGCCGAGATCTGGGGGGGGGGGGGGTGGATTCCCCCCTCCTCCCCCGGCTGAGAGATGGTCAAAATAACCCGACCCTTTTAGGGTTACTGGCACAGTGAATTTGTTTTGGAATTAGGGAAAAACCTGTGGAATCTGTGGACTTCTGGCATCTGGCATTCAACAGAGGAACTTTTGCTCTTTGTAAAATGTCAAAGTATGGTCTCTGTGTGGGACCAGTACATGTAGATGAAGCTTGGTGACCACTGATGGACAAGCATTACATTCACTGTGTGGACTTCCGAACAAAAGTTGTCCACATATATTTTCAGATACATGGGCCGTATTCACGAGTCGGCCATATTGGATTGAGAGTGAGGTAAAATCTTGATTTTTGGAACTTGTGAAGAGAAATGAAAGCAAGTTAATCTCTAATTAATTCCAGTCTGCTTCAATGAATAATTTAAAATTTGTAATTAAGCATTCCCTAATGTTTAAAGCCAAATTAAAAAAAAAATGACAGTAAAATAAGGCTGCTTTGTGCCTGCATAAATAGTCTGGCGCCATCCCATTCAGCAGTTAACAATTCATGAAATACATTCAGGGAACTCGACAAAAATGGCCAACTCGTGAATAAGGCCCATTGTGGGGACTTGCCCACGTCCACACAACTCTCTAAGAATTGAGACAGGCTCTAATTCGCTCTTTTCACGCTCCGCCATTGGGTATGCAGAGCCCCGATCTGGCAAGTTTACGCAATGACGACACGGGAATCACTGAACCGGCTATTTTCATTGTGTAAACTTGCCAGATCGAGGCTGTGCATGCCCATGGCGGAAGCGTGAAAAGAGCAAATAAAGGCTCCGCAGAAAACACAATTGTTTTGCTTACCAAGAAGCATGACCCCACCAATCCAGAACTGAATCCCCAACAAGTTCTGCCATTGAAGTGACAAGAGGACAAGCCAGATGATCAGAAGGACAGAGTAGAAACCACACATCACAGCATAGAACTGCAAATAATATAGCGATGGAAGCCTTTGTTTTATTGTACCTAATTACATCAATGGGACTGCGGATCCCATTAAATAATTCTTCCGATCATTTTCGTTTTCCATATGCATTCACAAAAATAGCATGCTTGGATAAATAGAGGTGTGCATCGTAACCGGGTACCTGGGTACCAGACCATTGATGTTAGGATTCGGAACCAGATTATGGAAAACGGGTATCCGTAACCAACTTTTACAAATTAGTGCATTAATTTGAAGACAAATGACAAAGAATTAAAGTTTTGAATGCCATTTGATGGGCAATTTTCAAAATGAAAACCGGCCACATCATGGAAAACAAAAACAGTCGACACTCGCTAAAGTTGCTGTTTACGCCGCAAAAAAACCCCAACCCTTCAGACAACTTCTGGGATGTGAATTTCGGGGTTGATTTTTTTTTTACAGGAATACGACGGGTGTACCTGGGTATCTGTGTTTTACTTCAATAGGGTACCTGGTTCCTGTAACTACTCATAAATGCACACCACTACTTGGATCTTCATTTTCATTTATCACATATGCACCTTGACAGTTTGATAATTATGCACATTGTGTATGAGAAAATGTTGAGTGACAGCAACAAAGGCAAATGGTCCTGTTTATTCATTTGCTAATATTTTCCAAAATGGTCAACTCAAATGGTGAATGTTATGCTCCTGTCGGAGGATAAATATGAAGCGTTCTAGCAAAATGAGACAGAACTTGGCAGAGGTCGAAATGAGGGGTTTTTGGTATGAGAAAGAGAATAAAATTCTCCTTACAATACTGTTCTGTTTGTTGCACTACAAGCAGACATTCCATTGACAGGTTATGGCTGTTTAAAGTTTGCATTTATCATTATGTCAAAAAAAGTAATATACTGAGAATAAGGCCTTTACGTACAGTTTTGAGTTTTGATAATGAAAGATGCCAATTTTTTTTCTTCTTAAAACCACTTTTATTCCATGATTTGTATACTATTTCTGTAAATATGTATATTAGACATAAGCCTATCAAATATTACAAGTAGCAATAAATATGAAAATCAGAACAACAATACAATACAATTATTCTCCACTCCAGCCAACGTACAATGTAGGCCCAGTTCCGTTTCATTTTGCCAGAACCCCTTTTAATACAAATGTTATTTTTTTATTTACATCAAATTCTCAAAGTAATTCCACACAAAAAAATATCACTAGAAAAATGTCACTGTCACAATTTGTCTAGGATTTTAAAAGTTGCTAGCCAAACAGCATTACTTGTAGCACTGGAGACTGCCATTTTGAGGGCAGTTTTAAGATGACATCTTTTCATTGGGGTTCGGACCTTCGCAGGGGTGTTGCTAACATTTGTCACACATTACAACATACATGTACAATAAAAATGGGGTTTTACCAATCATTTTTTTCATACTTACAGGAAGTAGTGGAGCTTGGAAGGCAGACAAGTAGCCACTTGGGTTTCTCATGTTTATGGTGACTAACAAAAAATGTCAAAAAAAAAGTAATTTACACACCACTGACTTTCATAAAGCATACTGCAGAACATTGTAAGTGATACTTTGTATTGATTGAACGTGTTGATTTTTGCGGAGCCGAGAACCTTGAGAAAAACTCTCGTGGCACAGTTGCATGTCTGAACAGAACCATGGCCGGGAAACAAAGGACAAGACTTGAAACATGAATACTCACGAGTAACTTGCAGCTTGGTGGGAAGCAGCGGACGTGGTGTGAGGCGTACGACAACCCAGTAACGGCCAGGTTGAGGGATCCTTGTTACTCTGCCGTTTGGTAGCTCCGTCTGTACATTGACAAAGCACAGCAGAACAATGTGTAAGTAGTTGTGATGACTAATTCCAGGCTTTTAAGCAGACCCAGGTGAAAAAGTAGGAAACCAGTAGGACCAAATTTTAAAGGAAATCAACATGTTTTGCATTTTTCTCTTTTCGGCCTGTGCCCAGTTCTGTCTCATTTTGCCAATTTCCTGGCAACATACCCCAAAAGTTAAAACAAATTTTCCCATTCAGCAGATTTATGGCTTCCTATCAGGTCGACCTGCGATTTGCTTGCCCCGCGACAGAACCGTCAGCATCAAACAGAAAAGTGATGCTCAGGTCATGCAACTTTTATTCTGGTGGAACAAGCGACATCTCGACACAAAACAATCGCAACTATGCTCATGTCACCCTTGACGTAGATGTGATCATGCGACGTCAAAATAGCAATGCTCATGTTGATAACAATCAAACGATCTCCCACGGCCACATCTGTTCATTTATGATCCAGAAGATTTTTACCGCAAGCTGATAGGCTACACAATGAAGAATTATGATCCGGATGCATGCACGACATCGTAACATCACACAGATCGACCGTGATTGATTCCCGCCTGTCGGGAACTGTATTGGGGCGCAGAAGTTGACATTTTTCTACTCTTGCATCTGTTGATGTTTTTAAGCGCCCACTGATGCCGATCATCTTGATATCGTTGCAGTTAACACTCGGGTTGCAAAAAAATCGGTGACTGCTATTTTTGTATAGTCGTATCTCTGGCGCAACTTGATCCCGAAAAGTCAGTCATCGACTGCTTTTTGTCGTCGCAAGGTCAACCTGAGGGCGGCTTATTATGTGGCTTGCATTTCACAAGAGGAATGATTGTCCCATAAGGGTTCACACATTGTCTTACCATCAAACAAAGTTTAAGCCAAATTAATATCAACAACTTCTGGCTAAAGACCAAAACAGCAATGGGAAATAGTTGGCGACAGTACAGTTGGAATTCACAGGAGGTTGAACTTTTTTTAATGCTTTTTAATGCAAATTGCCCATCACAAGGCCAAAGGCCACTCGAGGTGTGGGTTTCAGAGGAAAGTGTGGAAGAACCAGCCCCTCACCCTGAAACAAGACAAGATCATCTAATCTCCTCACAGTATGAATAGGGTTGGGATGGGTAACTACCTGTAGTCCACTGCTAGGCGTTATTTCTACCCGTATAAGGTGTAGAAGTATCATAGCCCATGCTGGGCTCTAACCCACAACCTGCAGAATTACCCGCAGACCACAAATTCAACGCCCCAGACCACTAGGCACTATGGCACTCCGCAAAACCAAGTGTCCTTGTGGTTTCGGAGCCAGGATGTATTTTTGATCCATTACAAGTCCATGTACATGGTACCTCTACAACATCACTGTACATTTGTAGGTGCGTCACTCAGATTTTGGGCTACATGAATACCTGCACTCCAAGAAATACAAAATGGTGTTGCACACCAAATTCATAGCACAAGCATTACATTCACTGTGTGGACTTCTGGACAAAGGATGTCCACATAAACCAGTTGTCAGATACGTTATGTGGACTTGCCCAAGGCTTCCCCCTCTCTGAAAAAAACAGGTTTAGAGGCATTTTTGGGATAGGTTTATCCGTCGCAAAATGAAGAGAAACACTCAAGGGAGTCATAGGGAAAAAAATAGGTTGAAAGAGTTTCACAGTGTGAGTAAAATGATTTTTGGAAAAAATGTTGCAACCTGACGTCACTTTTTTCTTTATATCATCTCAATGAAGGTCATTCATTGCAAAAATGATAAGACATGAATCCGGGACTGAGAAATATTTCCAATTTTGTTAGGGAATACTTTTTTAGACTCTCCATAGACTTTGTACACAATCGCGGAAGTGGCGTCAGGTTGCATTTTTTCCTGATTTTTTTTTTACAGGTTTTTCTTAACTACACGAAAACGAAGGAATGTCCACACTAGGTATATGTAATGTAAACATGCATGACTTCAACTACTCACCGGTGTTTCGGTTGGGGGTTCAGAGGTCAATTCATCCGGAGATCTCTTGAGCAGTGGTTTCGTGAGTTGTGTATTCGGTTTTGTTTTGAGTGTTGGTGATCCCCCTTGGAATTTACAATGTTCAACATCATTCTTGGGGTAGCAAGTAAAGCTATCAGGGCCCGATTCATCCTTTTCAAGCACACAAGAAAACAAAAATTAAATGAAAAATATAAAACAAAAAGCAAGGGTTGTTACAATGGTGGAATTGACAAAATAGTAACTCAAAGATGATAGGTTCATATCGTCAGTTGCACCACGAACCCACGTAACACATTTTGTTGTGTTTTGAAAAAAAAATGATTGGTCATTATTTTGTAGGATCATTCCATATACTCCCTGTGTAAGAATTCAAAGTGTTTCGTTTTTGCTAGTAAATTATTGATTAAACTTTATTGTACGCAATCCGTGTGCATCTGAGTTGCTTAGTTTTTGAGAAATTTAGTTCCCAAGATACACTTTACTTCGTGAAACAGATTTTTATCATGTTTATCGTATTTCATACAACGGGCGTAATAGTGGCTGTGCGCCAAATACAGAGATACCCCGGTTCGTGACACGCTAAATTCACACTTTTCATGTCGACGCTCCTTGGTGACGTCATAGCAATATGGGACTTAGCGTGTAAAGCAATTAAAACTCAGATCGGAATAAAACTTTCTGAGAATGAGCACTTTGATAAAATAATAACGTTAATGACAAAAACTCAATTTGACAAAAAATTGAGATACGCCGGTTCGTGGTGCAACCTTTCTTACCGTTGAGGGGGTACTTGTGCACGGAGCAGATTTTTTTCTCTCAAAATCCTAGAATTTGATCCACTTTTAAGGACACCTGTGCCTTTTCAAAGGAATATGCAAACGATGCATTGGGTGTGGGGACATCTACGCTGTGCACAACACTAAACTGACGGGTTAGACCAGCCCTTATAAAATCCCCACCTGCAGATATTGCAGATCATGTTGGCAGTCCATTTCGTTGGATGCGTTGCTCCTCTGCACAAGAATGTAGTCCTCCTCATTAGTTATCTCAAAATTTCCACCACTATCAAAGAGTCTTTCAAGGTACTGTGTTTCATTTGCCTGTAAACAGAACAGAAAAAAAAAACGCTGTTGATGAGGCACTTACATGTACGTTTCATGGAATGATTATAAGATTCTACTTCCCTTAAATGAGAACATACCCACTCGACTTGGGACTGTATTTTATTGACTGGATCAAATGCAATAACAGAAAAGAAAGTCCCATTTTTGGGAGAAAAAAAAGAAGAGATCGTCCATGTCCACATAGAGCAGCCTTAACCACAGACAAAGTTTTCGTTCGGTAGGGCACAACCAAATACTGACTTTGTATCTCCCCGACAAAATTTCCATCCCATAAATAGACTGAAGTCTGACTCACAAAGTGCAGTACGTTGCATTCTGTGTAGCCAACTATCCACTCTATCGTGTACTTTCCTTCACCAACACAATCAACTACTGTATAAAGAAGAAAGTGATCACAAATCATTACATGTGTTAGGCCAAAAAACAAAGTCTCCGGTTTTTGGTATGCGCGCGCGTCACCGTAGCCATGCGCGTCGGCAAAATGAACAAGTTTTTTTTTTCAATGAAAGATGATGTCTCAAAACGGCCAAACTCACTGGTTTGATTGGTATCCTGCTGCTGCACAATTTTAACGTGTTTCTAGATTGGGTTATGGTCGAGAATAAGCTTTATGTGGCCTCTCTGGTCTCACATAATATTTGCACTAAGTTTAGTCGGGCACCATTTGCAGTCATCAGCCGACATTTGAAGCAAAAAAAACAGGGGAAAAAAAAAAAAAGCCGCCTCGCCGCACCACTTTTTGGGCAAGCTCCATACCAGAAACCGGAGACTTTTTTTTTTGGCCTTATTAGGTAATTTTTGTATTGGTCTTTCTACACAATTTAGGGCCCAAAGTGTGACATTATCCCCGTCCCTCTACTAAACATTAGAACTTTGCAATTCGTTTCGATTTTCAACTCCTGATATATACAGCCAAATGCCACAAATACGGATTCGCAAGAGTGATTTCAACACTATTTGTACGATATTTCTTGCCGAAACTTCATATGTTCCAGGGTGTGCGCTGGAGTGAAATTGTAGAACAATAGGCCAGGCACAACAGCCAACTCAAGTTCAACACGTGCCTCCAAAGACTTCACAGACTTTGAGTGTGTGTGTGCAAAAGGCACGAGGGATTAGCGTGTTTTGACATCACCTGGAGGCCGGTCTGTGTTTGTTTTGTGTAGTTTGCTATTCATGATCACTCTCGGAGGATGACTGGATTAAGGAGTGCATCAGAATGATAAAATGTTGGATGTAACAGGGACAGGAAAAAAGTGGACCCCAAATTTATAGAATGACCCGCAAAGATTGACAGTGTAACTTGACTTTACAAAACTTCACTGTAAACTTTGTCGTGTGAAAGGCTGTACAGTGTGTCCCAAAAAAAAATGTCCCTCTGATAGACTGCTTAATTAATTCCAAAATCAAGTATTATTCTCAATTTAGTGTTCAGATTAAGAAAGCCCATTTAATTTTGTAACTTCTGTGAAAATTTCATTGGCCTCGCTTCATTAGTTTTGAATACACAGTCTATTATGTAACAGCAGTGCTTTTCAGCCCATTCCAAGTTTGCAGGTGGAAGGATGTGCAGGAGGACAATAAAGGTTTACAAGCTGGACATTGAAGAACAAACCATAAGTGGAACACACCCTGTGAAAGCACACACGACCAGTGGAACTGAACTTTGATTAGTTTTCATTTAAAAAAGGTAAATGAACTTGCCTTTAGTTACTTAATAACAAAAACAAGAACACAGTTGTTGAAATAAAAGTGAAGCATGGAATAAGGTATGGTATGTCTGTAGCGTGCATTTCTTTTAATCAAACTTGGAATGGGCCGGAAAGCACTGCTGTTACATAAAAGCCTGTGTATTCAAAACCAATGAAGCGAGACCTTTGAAATTTTCACAGGAACTATAAAATTAAGTGGGCTTTCTAAATATGTAAACTAAATTGAGTATAAAACTTGATTTTGGTAATTATTCTGTGGTCTATGAGAGGGACATTTTTTTTGGGACACGCTATATTGACAGTCGCTTTTAAACACTGACCCATATCCATCCCAATCCATCTTTCTACCAGCTTTCTACGTGTGCTTTATTCACTGATGGATTTCAAAATTTCAACATTATTTAGCTAATTACTTTACAAGGGATATATCTTTGTTTCCTCATGCACTAATGGATTTTTAAGGGAATAAATATGAGCTTGGCTGGTTTTAAAGTTGGTAAAGTTGACCTTACTGCAAGCTGACACCAAAAAGTTCAGACAAATCTCAACTACTAGACCTGATACCGATTTTGGCCCATAGCCTCCCCCCCCCCCCTGTCACTTATGTGCAACAGAGAGGGACCAAAGACAATACTATATAAATTTCTAAAAAAAGGGGGTTTCTTCTTGGCCGATATTACCTGTGATGGCTATATCAGTTTCATTCGCCAGGTTTTTGGTAACAACACCAAAACGATTCGCCTGATTCAAGAAAACACACAAACAATGAGGTCAATCAATGTACATGTGCAGGGTCAGTAAAAAAAAAAAGCACATCCCAAATGGCAGGGCAAAATTTTTGAATGAAAGTTTGCCTGTAGCACTTTCAAAATGTAGGATACGAAAGCCCAGTCATTAAGAATCATTCAAATTACTCATGTACTTTTCAAATTACAGCATTTTAAACACAAACACCGTTTTATAGTTCATCCTTCCTACGGATCACAAAAAAGGAAGTGTTCTTTCTGCAACTGTAAACCGCGCAGGAAAATTGCAATTTCTGCCCAAGAAACTGTTCCAAAAAGGAAAGAATTTTCAACCTGACGCAGCTTTTTTTCTTCATATATCATCTCAATGAAGGTCAGTCATCACTGGTCATTGCAAAAATGATGATAAGATAAGACATGAATCGGGGACTGAGAATGTGAGATACATTTCCAGTTTCTGAGAAACAAAATTGTCTTGACAGTGCAGTGACACTCCATAGACTTTGTACACAACTGCTGAAGTAACGTCAGGTGGCATCATTCTTTCCAAAACACCATTATCGAAACTAAAGCTACACTCGCCGTACTCGTAGCTTGAGTAACTCCAGCTCTAATGCGATAGGCATTAGAGCCGAGTTACTCAAGCTACCGTACCCAGCTCAGTGCCTAAGTTCAATTCAAACTTGCGAGGCCTACCTCATTCAACATGTTCAAAGTAATGTTAAAAATTCCCGGTTCAAGTCTTTCGCAGCAACAAAAGTTGCAGTTGATCAGTAACGTCAGAGACCAAACAAGGTACAGAGCTTCCATGATCATGATGATGAATAAATTTAGTACTCAATTACAAGAAAATACAGAGACTCATCCGCCTACTTCCGTGACTTGTGCAGTTTGTTTTTATGAACAGCGACCTCTTCAGCTTCCATGGTGCACGTGGCCGCGCCGCGGCTCGGATAGACCGTTTTCTAAACTCCGGCCTCCCACCGGTAACCTCCAGTTCCCTTGCCAAACTGTACGAGTGACATCAGACGGTATGCAGCCGGAGTTTAGAAAATGGTCCGTCCGGTATGCCAATGAAACCAAAAGAGGGCGCTATTTCAATTTATTACTACAACATGGCGACTACGTTGAAAGAAGCTGTGTCGATGTACCAGAAACTAAACAGGGAATGGAGCAAGAAGCCTCCAAATCTGAACAAGTGTGGTGATATTCTTGGACAGCTAAAGGTATAATGTACCTATATTTTTTAGAATGAACCGATTTTTCAGTTTTGGCTTTGTTGTAACACCGGTTTTATTTCGGACTTATTTTGCTGATTCATTTGCAATGCATTGCGCTGCTTCCATGGCCATGGCAGGCTGCCGGGAGTGCCGTACCGGTTGCTGGAATGCTGGTTGCGCGAATATTTGAAATGCGCGAATTCGGGGTACTCTACGTACGATACCCCAAATTCGCATTTTACAAGTACCCCAAATTCGTGCTTAATAAAAGTTATATTCGCGCAACCAACTTTCTCGACACATGTTGTTCTTCACATAATATTAATAAGCAACCGACTTTCAGTTTCATCTTCGTTCAGTTACGTGGAAAAGGTTTGGAGTAATTGCAGAATACCCAGCCACTGGAAAAGAAACAATTCAAGTCCATGCCAGCTACGCGGATACTGAGTGGGGGTCCATTATTTGAGAACGAAGCAACCCAAAATGAATGGGAGTTGCTGAAAAAAATTCTAAGTCCAAACCAACCACCCTGTTGGCGGCTACGAGGCTACGGAGTGGGAGTCCCCTTGAATATGCTTGAGAACGAAGCAACAAAAAAGGAATGGGAGTTGCTGAAAAAATTCTAAGTCCAAACCAACTACCCTGTTGGCGGCTACGCGGTCATACGAAGTGGGAGTGCAATGGAGCATGACGCATACTCGGCATAGTACATACAAGTAGCGCTGAGAATGTTTATTGAGGTCAATTAGCCGTGACCTCGTAGCCGGCTACGAGGTGGATAGATCGAGTGGCGGGGTATTCTGCAATTGTGCCTCCATTATTTGAGAACGAAGCAACACAAAAGGAATGGGAGTTGCTGAAAAAAAGTCTAAGTCCAAACCAACCACCCTGTTGGCGGCTACGCGGATACGGAGTGGGAGTCCCCTTGAATATGCTTGAGAACGAAGCAACACAAAAGGAATGGGAGTTGCTGAAAAAATTATAAGTCCAAACCAACTACCCTGTTGGCGGCTACGCGGGTACGAAGTGGGAGTGCAATGGAGCATGACGCATAGTACATACAAGTAGCGCTGAGAAGGTTTATTGAGGTCAACCAACCGTGACCTCGTAGCCGGCTACGAGGTAATAGATCGAGTGGCGGGGTATTCTGCAATTGTGCCTAGGCCTATACAGATTAAAAACAAGTTTTTACATTTTTGAATGGCCCAGAAAAACAATCATTAGTTCCTGATCAGTCTCGCCATCCAATGTTAAAGCAAACGTTGGCATGTTGTCCAATATAGTTCTGGAATTCTAGGAATTGACCTGGTCACATCAAAGCAAATACAACAATGATTGTGACAATTGTGAAAAAGTCACTATTTACATGTAGGCCTATTCATGATTAAAACTAAATCTTCAGAATGACATTGTCAATGTCAAAACTGCAATTCATTAATCACCCGTTTGATCTAAACTTCATAGAAATAAGCCATCTCAAACCTAACTTGAAGAAAGAATTTAAAAATGAAACATACCGAATAAGTTTGGAAAATGAATATTCAAGTGACTTTACCCATTTGTACTTTTGTTCTTGCAGATTGCCCTGTTGAATCTCTCATTCCTACCCATAGCTGGCAGCAAACCATCCAAACAAGAACTCATCATAGCACGTGAGTAGTCTTCCAGATAGAACAAAGGATTTATATTATGAGATGAAAAGATAAGCAAACTGACCACATACCATTTCAGCAATTCTAGCTGTAACCTCCCCAGATTACAGAAATACAAATAAGCTCAGTTTGAAACTCATGCTTGGATTGCTGTCACAAGGTTTTAATTCACAATTCACAGTGGTGTCTCAAGTAGCAAGTATGTGTACAGTAGGGTGTGGCAAACAATCAGGTTGCAAGTAGTAGTAAGCAAGTAGCAAGCAAGCAAGCAAGCAAGCAAGCAAGCAAGCAAGCAAGCAAGCAAGCAAGGTTCAACTATAAGAATAAAGAAAAACAAAAACTAATTTTGAGTCAAGTGCTCAATAAATCTATCCATGGTAAGTATAAATAACAACACTTTTCATCTTACAATGTCTTTCAATCATATAAAAGGGCTCAATGACAAACAAGGAGTGGCTCACATGGTTCAATTTGACTGGCTAAATAATCCAAATTTACACACAAATTTCCTTTTCAATTATGAAAATAAATCTCTAATCACAATCATAAATAAGTAAATAAATGTCAGTAAACTTACTTTTGCTGAGCTTCCAAAGGGATGTCACATAAATGGCAAATTACACAGTGATGTCAATCAAAGCATGTCTGCTTACATGTACAATGTAGGTGTCTCCATAGGTGCGTACATGTACATGTACATACACATGTACATATGGTCATGCATGTCCAAGGAGCTGACCACACCCAATCCAACAGCGCCCTCAGGCAACAAAAATGCCAGAGCTTTTATGCATAATTATGCAAATAAGGAAAGTTTACTAGACTTGTTTACAAGTGTCAAATTCTGTCTGTAACACTAGCAAAAATGAAATTTTAAATATATCCATAAAAACATTGGACAGCCTGCCGGGAAACCAGGGCATGAAAAATATCACTCGTCTTCATTGAATGAGGACAATTGTTTTTTTCGTTGTTAGGCGACATTCTGGAGATTGGCGTACAATGGAGCGTTTTAAAGGGAGAGATCCAGTCATTTGAACGCTACATGGCACAACTAAAGCCCTACTACTTCGACTACAGGTGAGTGTCAGTTTCAGGAGAGAAGGTTGTATTGAGAAGAATTATGTAATTCTTATAATTCTTGGCTTTGCCATTCATCAACGTAGCTTTTGTGAGCATTGTGTACTCAGTCCTGTCCCAGAACCTCTGAGAAAAAGAAAATCCTCCAGCAATCACTGTCAATATGTTGAGTCAGTGCCAGTGACATCCTGGAGCAGTGCGGAGGGGTTTCAAGTATAATCGAGGTCTACATTTATGCAGGGCTAAAGCATTTACAACATAAGGTACAGCCTAAGACCTTGCCACAACGCATCTTCCAAAATCAAGTGACACATTTTTGCCAAACATCCTCAATCCTTTGAAAACCTCCACTTATGCAAAGAGAATTCAGGATGACTAGGGTTAATCATTTGGAATACGCAGTTCATGTCTTTTTCTCCTTCCCTAATCACAGTCTGTGGATTAGGATTAGTAATTTTTTTTCAAATTAAAATGAAACAGATTGTTTAACAGATTTGCAGTTAAAGAGCTTGTCGTAAAGCATTTGAGTTTAGAGACCCTTCAAATTCAGGCCCAACAAACTATTTGTTTGGGGGCAAAATTGCTGCACAATTTGGCCCACTATAATAACATTGGCTTGAGACCCGCTGCATCAGTCCCGCCATTATAATTCATGGGATGACTTCATTTGTTTATTGCAGGGAAGAGCTGCCGGAGTCGTCCTACAAGTTTCAGCTTCTAGGTTTGAATCTACTCAGATTACTCGCACAGAACAGACTCGCCGAGTTCCACACGGTGAGTAGTTTTTAAGCGGAAAACCAAAAAGTGTGTCATTGGTTTTTGTTCTCGCATTGGTTGGATTTAAAGGGAACATACAACATATGGAAACATAAAACAACGAAATGATGAAATTATTATAAAAAACCTTACTGGACTGTTAAGGAATGACAGTCTCAAGCATCCGATAAAATCGTGGCACCTGGTGTGCTGACCTTTTCAATAAAAATTTTTCCAACACTGGTCGGCCAACCAGCGTTGGAGAAAGTGGGCTTTTTTTCAAAAACTGCTGCTAAGTTTTAATATTTAGTTAATCCGCATTTTCTTTGCATTATTGAGTAAGCACCTGTGAAGGGGTACAAGCCTGCTAGACTGATTCTCTGACTTTACAATTCCCCAAAGTCTATAAATTGCTCCATTTAATCTTAAGTGGGGTCAGGGAACCAGACTACAAGAACATGATTGGTTTTCTTGGTTTTTCCAGCATCTACAAACCCAAAACGTGAAACAAGTCAGTTTAACAATATTTGCTTTGTAAACCCTATTATAAGTACACTATTATAAGATGGAATTTTGTGTCGGGGTGATATAAATCAAATTAGGTTTTGCCCTTCACCGACGTTTTTTAACACTGTATACTCAGTGTGTTACCTCCTGGAAAAAATCACATGGGTGGGACTCGAACCCACGACCTCCTGCTTTCTAGTGCAGATGTCTTACCACTCGACCACCGAGCTAACGGGATCGGTTGGCCGGTTCGAATCTGATGTACATAGCAGCGGGTACCGCATAAACTATTATAAGATGGAATTTTGCGTCGGGGTGATAGAAATCAAATTAGGTTTTGCCCTTCACCGACGTTTTTTAACACTGTATACTCAGTGTGTTTCCTCCCGAGTGAAAGTTGGAAAAAATCACTTGGGTGGGACTCAAACCCACGACCTCCTGCTTTCTAGTGCAGATGTCTTTCCACTCGACCACCGAGCTAACGGGATTGGTCGGCTGATTCGAATGTGATGTACATAGCAGCGGGTACTCAAGAGGTAACACACTGAGTATACAGTGTTAAAAAACGTCGGTGAAGGGCAAAACCTAATTTGATATAAGTACACTATTTTCTCAACTAAATGCAAGTTACATTCTCCACCCTTTTTCACAAGCCTGACGGCCTAGGAATCTTTGTTTCAAGGTTGCATTAACGTGTGTTTTTTTTTTCACAGGAATTAGAACTGTTACCGGCCAAAGAAATCCAGAACAATATTTACATCAAGCACCCTGTGTCTATGGAGCAGTACCTCATGGAAGGCAGCTACAACAAGGTTTGCTCAATTTTCTCGATCGAGAAGCGTGTACATGTTTTTGTGTGTAATAATCACGGGTGCCACTTTTCCGGCTATAGACAAAATTTCTGCTTTTTCCTGTCTTGGGGGAAAAACCTGCACAAGCTTTTGATCACGAAACACGATTTCACCTACATTTCTTGATTTCTTCTAAATGACAGCAAGCCAGACAGAACAATTTCACAAGGTGTTTAGTGCCATTGCAATCTTTAATCGAAGTACAGTAAACTCCAGCTAAACCGGCACTCTCAGGACCCGAGAATTTGTGATGACTTTCGCAAATGCCGATATATGCTGGAAGTCGTCATTTTGCCGACTTACATGAATGGTCTTTTGCACACATGATTCATTGCACTAATTGGCTTCGATTTACCCAGGATTATCTCCTTAATGCTTGAGTTGAATCCAGCAAATTAATCCTCGAATTGTATCATCACGTTTTGGATGTTGATAGTGGAGACCACGATACATATGTACGTGCACAGTGCGTGCGTGGTCCGGTATATACCACGCACGCATTGACTGCAGCAGTAGTCATTCAATAAGACCACCCCTAAAATGGACAGAGCGCATGCGTACAGCCTAGAGGGGGTGCTGGTATTGATATGCTCACAATGCATATGCGATGTATGCAGCAAAGATCCTATAGCGCCGCGTAGTGGTATGCAGTAGGACACCCTTTTTCGACACCGATGTGTGCAGCGATCACGGGCCGTGCGAAACCACTTTTCACTCGACACTTTGCCAACCGCAGTACAGGAAGTCGATACCAATGCGTGATTTGTTGAATGCCGACTTACACAAAGGATTTTGTAATGCTTTTTATGGAAAGGGGACCGAGAGTAACACGACGACTTGAGCAAAATGGCGACTTACAAAAGCTGACTTAGAAATAAAAAAATTCAATGGAAATGCATTACGGACAATCGGGACTTTAGTCAGACGGCCGACTTGAGCAATTTGACGAGTTGTACTATGTCGTTTTAGCCGGAGTTTCCTGTATGAAGTTTTTTGATAAAATAATTCAGTAGGTTACTTTTTGGATAAATGCAAGCATTTCTAAGCATTCCTATGTGCCTTTAATGTTTATTCAGCATTTTTTTCTTTAAAAATTACTGGGAAAAACTGCTTTTACTTCTGAATGTTGTACTTTTTAAGTAAATCCACAATACCACTCTTCTGCAGGTATTTCTTGCCAGGGGTAACGTCCCCGCCGAGAGCTACAACTTCTTCATCGACATTCTCCTGCTGACAATCAGAGACGAAATCGCGGCCTGCGTGGACAAGGCCTACGAGAGAATAGCCTTCAACGAGGCCGCCAGAATGCTGTTCTTCACCAAGCCACAGGAGATGAAGGCCTACGGCGAAAAGGTAGGCGGAAAATTCAACTGACCATTTTTCATAAAAATACCTGGAGCGTTTACCAGTTCATTGGGCAAGAGCCCGGCAGTGACAGATGATGGGATTTTCATAAACAAGAATTTAACTTCGCCAAATATTTTTTCAGCAAAGCACACTTGTTCCTTTCAGAGAGGCTGCAAGCAAGACGATTATTTTTAGCTGCAGAAAGCAGCTCAAGAAATCATCCTGTCTTTCTGTTGGTTGGTTGGTTAGTGACAAATGTCAGCACATACCATTTTTGGCAATCAATCACCTTGTCCCTTAGGCCCTCGCAAGAACACGTGCTTCGGGTCTCCACTGACCGGTACCAATTTATTGCAGTCGTGGAAAATTGGGTCACGAGGCCACTCATTTCGCATTGGGGCTAGCACTGTACTGCACACAATGTTCCCACATGCTATAAAATGCTCCATACACCAACTGACGTTCTACAAAACAATGGGAATCCTTTTCAATTGACAGTCGCGACCACCTGAGTAGTTGTGCATTTATAAGAACAGACTTTTACATCATGTACGTGACTAACATTATAAGCTACGGCAGGTCTCAAGTTGGGCCGCAGCTTCCGAAATTATTTCAAGTTTGTTATATGTGACTTCACTCGTAATTTGACTAACTTGAGATTTGATTTGTGATGGGATTAACAATATGACTAAAAAATTTCAAATTTTCAAATTTTCAAATTTTGAAGCCTTACGATTACTTTCGAAGATCGCAATTAATCCTCAGCCCTTTTTTTTCCCATTGTCTTTCATTTTCAGCGTGGTTGGGAGCTGGGCAAGGATAACTACTTCGTATTCCACACAGACAAGAAAGCAGAGGAGAGCATACCGTCACACGAACTGGCCTTGCAGGCCATCGAGTATGCAAGAGAACTTGAAATGATCGTGTAGTACCTCCAGTGTGTTTTAAATCCAGTGTACATGTATGTAGTCTAGACCTTATGCGTTGCAGGTAGGGGCGTGTGGCCAAGTGGTTAGGGTGTGTGACTCATGATCAGCGGGTCAGGGGTTTGAATCCTGCTGCTGGTCGTATGTTGTGTCCTCAGGCAAGCCACTTTATCCCCACTTGCCTCTCTCCACCCAGGAGTATAAATGTGTGCCGGCATTAGCTGGGGAGTAACTTGCAATGGACTGGCATCCCATCCAGGGGGAATAGAAATACTCTCAGTCGTTTCAATGCCGAGAAAACTGGAGATAAGTGCCGGCCTGATGAGTGTTCTTTTCTTATTTTGATATAGTTAAAATGAATACACACACTCATGCCTATCCCAGCGATACAAAACCATTGCCCTTTGATCTGCCTGAGCACATAACGTCTGTTGTAGAAACAATGTACAGTCGACTCTCGTTAGTACAAACTCTGTTAATACAAAATTCTGGTTATAACAAACATAAGGCCTTGGTCCCGACTGCATTTATATGCACAATGAATGGGACTGATGTTCCTCTTAATACGAAATTCTGATATAACAAACAAGTTGGCTAGGTCCAAACGAGTTTGTATTAACGAGACTCGACTGTAGAATGGTTTTGCTTTAAATTTAGTAAGGTGTCAGTTTTTCACCTCAAAGATTTAAGGCCTTTCAGTATTAAAATGAAGTAGTTGAACATAGTGTATTTGAATCAGGTATACTTATTTTAAAATGTGGTACATACAGTTGTGTGGAGACAAATCCTGAAACAATTTGGAGATGCGTGAGGGCGCCCCACTATTATGGAATTTCAGGTCCATGTGTTCCAACTGCCGGATAGAATATACAGAAGTCCACACTTTTGGAGTTTTGTCCCCATTTCTTGAATTATATTCTGTAATATTAGTTTATCCAAGGACACGAAATAATGCAGTGCGTCTGTGTCCCATATGCCACGAGTGCGAGTGGTATAACAAATTGATCTTCAAGAAAACTTGACACACAGTCAAAGTTGAAACACTCGCGCTGTACATGAACTTTTTGTTGAAGGTTTTGCTGAGAGGCTACTGTACTTTGCGAAAATGGAGAAAACATATTGCACAATGTTTTGGGTCTCATAACTGGATTCCACTGCTAATGCACATACAAAACAATTGTGCAAGTGGGCACCCAATTTTGAAACAACGTTCAATTGTTTTTTTTTTTTCACACCAGTTCAGGCGGAATGATTTCACAGGGTATTTGATATCAGTCCCATCTTCACTTTGAGTGAGGTTTCCGTCATGCTAAGTTCTGCATTTTCTCCATTATTGAATCCATTAACCATACGGTGCTGGAAGCCTGGATTAATAAATGCGTTAATAAATATGCAAAATTACAATCTGGTTTTCAGTGACCATTGATGTCTTTTATTTTGTGTCTCCTGTCTGAGGTTCCAATAATAAATGCTGGATGACATGAATTGACACTCGAGCAATATTTCTGTCTCTTATTTTGTCTAGCAAACTAAAGGTACAATAAAAAGAAGGCTTTAATACATAAGATCAAAAAGAAAACGAGCTGAGATATTCAATATTTTTGAGACATTTTTGCGAAGTCTAACAAAAAATGAACAAATATATGTGTGACAGTTCCTTTTTTTTTCAGTGTATGAAAAAAAAACTATATGGGCCTATAAATTCACGAGTAGCTCTAGCAACTTCGGACTCTCTTTAGGATTGGTCACATTTTGAGAAACATTCAATCAGACTCGGACTTCAACTGTACCAAGTTATACACAAGACATGTACACGACATTAACTTAAATGATTGCCGGCCCTCTCGGTTCCAACATCAAGATTTTTTTTTTAGCTTGGAAGAAAATTGTTTTCCAGTAAAAAAAAAACAGGACGGTCACAAACAACTCCAAACAAAATGGCATGCTCAGCATTGGAATTGAGCTGCTTAAACTCTGTGAAGTATGGAATTCATTGCCTTAATATTTACATGGAATTTTAGTAGCATCCCATGACATTTGGGTCAATATACGTCCATTCACCAAGAAATGAGCATAAAGTCGGACATTTAATAAAGCATTGATATATTTCTACAGAAGAGCTTTCTGAGATTAACATTAATAAGTAATGTTTATGAATATGGCATTTACAAATACCGCTGTTGTATTACAGTGAATGCACAGTCAACTAATACTAGGATGAAACTAGGTTTTAATGATGTTCGTTTGCTAAAAAAGGAACTGGCAAAGGTTGAACAGGACTTAAAGATTAAGGCTCTCCTGAAAACAAAAATTGACCACCCTTCCATATTTTGGCTGTGCCCCACCATGGCCCCACTGTGCTGCCAAATGACAATTTCTGAATTGATGCTCATTTCGTGACGACAGGACACATATTGGCCCAACAGGCAACTCGTAGGCTCACTGTATGCAAAGAGTTATATTACCATGTTTGAACCAAGAGACGGACAAGCCTTAGGCCAAAAAAAATAAGTCTCCGGTTTCTGGTATGCGCGCGCGTCGCCGTAGCCATGCGCGTCGGCAAAATGAAAAAGTTTTTTTTCAATGAAAGATGATGTCTCAAAACCACCAAACTCACTGGTTTGACTGGAATCCTGCTGCTGCACAATTTTAACGTGTTTTTAGATGGGGTTATGATCGAGAATAAGCTTTATGTGGCCTCTCTGGACTCCCATATATTTGCACTAAGTTTAGGTTTTGCATTTGAAGCAAAAAAAAACAGGTAAAAAAAAAAAAAAAAAAGCCGCGTCGCCGCACCACTTTTTGGGCAAGCTCCATACAAGAAACCGGAGACTTTTTTTTTTTGGCCTTACATAACTATATTAAAAAAAATCTTAAGGAATGGGAATAATAAGGTTATTGACCAGTCTTGCAAGAGTTATTACCCCTGTGTTAACAATGTAAACAATTCTTTATTGTCGCAAGGTACACACACACACACACAAATGGTTAATAACAATGTGTGTAACTTTATAACTCCGACATTTTCAATTTTCAAAATATATATTTCACTGGTCGCACCACAAACTGACATATCGTGTGAAGTCCATAGACAATGCGTCACTTCACGGTGAACCTGATGATTTGTTCCCTCTTAGTCAAACCCAAAAATCCTTTCCATAAAGGATTAATATTTGTGGTTCTGTCTGTCTGTGTGAAATTTAGAATCCCACCGATAATAACTTAAAGTCCCTTTCAAAACTAAAGAGTTCATTTTACCAAGGTGGCGAAGCTTATATATCTGTTAACAAATGAAGACTGGTCAATCACCTTTTAAGCTTTGTTTCATTTATTTATTTATTCATTTTTTTTGTGGGGGGGGGGGGGGGGGGAACGAGGCGGTGTGTTTGTAAATTAGACTGGCTTGTAGTCCAGCTTGGTCTCCAGTTTCTTGCCCTCTGACACCTTCCTGACAGCTTTCATGAAATCCTCGTCTAGTACGTACTCTCGCTCAGCACGGATCGCAAACATACCTATATGAAAACAACCAAGTATTGACACATTAAGTGCTGTGTTTTCTTTCTCTTGCACCGAGTTGAATGAAATTTCTAGCAGTATGAATGTATCTGGAAATATACCACCACTTCAGTTGTCAAATTAGGTTTTGCCCTTCACCGACGTTTAAACACTGTATACTCAGTGTGTTACCTCCCGAGTGAAAGTTGGAAAAAATCACTCGAAGGGACTCGAACCCACGACCTCCTGCTTTCTAGTGCAGATATCTTACCACTCGACCACCGAGCTAACGGGATCGGTTGGCTGGTTCGAATCTGATGTACATCATATTATAAGATGGAATTTTGCGCCGGGGTGATATAAATCAAATTAGGTTTTGCCCTTCCAACTTTCACTCGGGAGGTAACACACTGAGTATACAGTGTTTAAACGTCGGTGAAGGGCAAAACCTAATTTGATTTATATCAACCCGGCGCAAAATTCCATCTTATAATAACACTTAAGTTGTGGACAGCTTGTGCATAACACAAGACAACCCAAAGCATTGTTATTTCAAAAACAATTCCAAACAGAGATATTACTTAATAGATCACGTTGTTAAAAGAATTCACGGGGGAAAAATAAAGATTTTCGTCCACATACCCGCCTCTGTGCAAACGTTTCTAAGATCTGCGCCATTGAAACCGTCCGATAACTTGACAACTGCTTCAAAGTCTGAGAAGAAAAAGGGCATTACAATGTTAATCAAGAAAGAAAGAAAGGTATTGGATATTAAACAAGAGTTCTTGGTAAACATTTTCATTTGGGGATTTTCATGTTTTATATTGTTTGCTAGCCATATTTTCGAAGGTGTGGACCAAAGGATATCCTGCATGTTATGCTTTACATTTGTTTGTTTAAAGCCATCAAATTTTTGTGCAAATCTGTAAACATACAATGTAAGACTGGCACCTCATAAAATGCACATCACAAGTCACTGCGTGATATCGGGTCCCACACTAGTTTCAGACTTTCACACATGGTGCTACTAGCAAGCGTGCACGTATAAGGCAACTGTTTGAATGGAAATATTGTGTAACTGGAATTACAACAAGCACTCCCAACGGCTCAATTTTTACACGGAAAACAGCTTAGTTTTAAGAAATGGTTGCCAACGTCATGTTCTTCTTTAGAATGATCTTTCCAACAAATAAATATCATTTCGTGGTTAACACGTTTTCGAGTATAAATGGACGCATTTTCCCAAAAGTGCTTCCTTAATGTGCTTCATCTCTTACCAATATCTCCATGCTTGGTGATGGGCGCCGCGTGGATCTTTAAAATATCAAGACGAGCCTGCTCATTCGGCAGGGGGATTTCTAAAGGAAAAAACACATAACAAAATAAATAACAACCAGAATAAAAGAGTTGATCTATTCGTCTGGCTGTACCAAAACCAATAATTTGGATAAAAATACTCTTCTCCAACGGGTTAAAGATGTACTGTCTATGCTATAGGCAAATTCAGTCCCAAACCAAACTCTTTATAAATTACTACTTTTTTAAGCAAAACAACAGTTGTTCACGTTTAAATGATACTATGAAAACAAGCTGCCCATGCTTGGTTATGGAACAATTACTTTATAAATTGGAAAACATTTGCCGCCTGACAATAACTGAGCTCTCGCACGGTAGACTGGTTACAGACCCTATAAGAATCAATAGTGGAGGAACCAGACTATTCACAGCGCAGATCTGTTTCTGCGCAAAAGCAGATTAAAATTTTTTTTTTTTTAGACTGTTGCATATGCCAGAAAAAGAAACCAGTATTTTTTCTTGTTAAATGAAACATAAAGAGGTGTAAATTCGTCAGGAAAAATAAGTTGAAGAGTGCAGACAATACACCCTTACAGGGCCCATGCAATGTAATTCATTTGATGCAGTCCTTAGAAGTGCACCTTTGTGTCCCATTTAAGCTTATTTAAAATTTTCATTTACCAATTTCTAGGGTATTTCAGGCCTTATTGGTCTTTATTCTAAAGAAAAATTCCATATTCATGAGCAAATGTGTGATGTCATTTCAGACAGAAACCTCAATGTTACAGCTGTTTTAGCACCAAAAGTAGCCAGAATTTTGGATATCTTGCCGTCGTGCATTTTCTTTTCGTTGATGTGTCAGTACATGACAGTAAGCCAATGAGCAAACTTTTCTCGTAAATATTTTTAACGAGCAAATTTTAGAAAACTCCTAAACTGAACAGTGTCTTCCTGAAATGACATCACAGCAACAGCGCCTTCAGTTGTTCAGAAAAGCATTAAAGGGGCACTAGGTCCTGAAATCCCAGAAAAATTTCATGTTTTGGATTGTTTTATACTTATACTACTTCAAACATCTAGTTGAAAGGAAACCAACCTAATGTCTTACCGTTCCCGACAAAAGACGAAAAAAACCCTGGTTGTTTACATCGGACATGACGGAGTACGAATACGCTTTTCCTGTCGTTTTCAATGTACGATATACATGTTGTGTGTGTCTATTATAACGTACGTATACAGCACCGAGCTTATGAACAGCGGTGACCAATCACCAATGCACAAAATATGGTTTCTTACACGTCCGCAAAAGGTGAACACTTTACCGATGAAATCACAACTAGCAGCCAAACAGCTCAACATTTTGGGGTCGCAAAAGTGGACCCTGAAAGTCCTTGTCGCACGCATAATACAGGAAGAACACAAAAACGCCCAGTTTTGAAAGGATAGTTGTGTGGATGTTTATCTCCTACTTTTAAAAGTTCTTTCAGATTAACATCATTTCGTTCAAGGCGCGTTTTCTAGCCCAGTTGGGCTGTTCAGGACGCAGTGTCCCTTTAAATGCTTAAAGAAGTCCACTTTTCAATAACATTTTCCAAAAAGGGATGTCAAATAGTTTTCATTCATTTAAAGGGAATATACAACATTTGCAAACATCACAAAATAAAACTACCAAGATTGTATGAAATACCCTACTAGGATGTTGGTAAATGACAGTCTAAAGCATCCTGTAAAATTATGGCACCTGGTGTCAAGTCATTTTCAAGAAAATGGTATTTTTGTATACATTTCCAACGGTGGTCGGCCGACCACCGTTGGAAAAATCTAACTATTTTGCAACTACTGCTCCAAATTTACAATTTTTTCCGTCCAAATTTTGTTTGCTATTGGTTACATGTTCATGAATGGGTGCAGGCCAGCTAGGCTGGTTCCCTTACCTTACAATTTTCCGACATCTATAAATTGATCCATTTTATCTTTAGTGGAGTCAGGGAACCAGACTACTTAAACAATTTTTGTTTTTCTTGGTTTTTCAAGCATTTTCAAACACAAAACTTCAAACATGTCACTTAAACAATATTTGATCTATTATACTAACCCCTCAAATAGTTCATTTCTGAAAATTACAGCAACAGCCAATGATGTACATTCCCTTTAAGAGGAGTAGAAAGTTGAACAAAATATGTTTCTAATAAAATTTCACTTCATGAACCCTTTGATAAGTGACGATTAGCGATGGACCTGTTGCGCTTACCTATCTTCCTATCTAGCCTTCCGGGTCTAAGCAGTGCGGGGTCTAACGTGTCGGGTCTGTTAGTAGCCATGATGATCTTCACTTTCCCTAACGTGTCAAAGCCGTCCATCTGATTCAACAACTGAAGAAAAAAAATATGAACATTTTATGGAAATGTTTATATCAATGACAATAACATGAACAATTTTGACACTGAATAGTGACAAAAAAGTCATGAGCATCAACTACTAAGGGGCCATTCCAGAAGAGTCATGTTAAAAAATTTGATTTCTTTTTTTTCCCGAAATTGTGCATGGGTGGGTCAAAGGAAATAACTGAAAATCGAATTTCAATTTTCAATTAAAGTAATAGAAACAAAATAATACAAGGAAAAAACAATTTGGTTTCCATTGTTTTTTTTTCTCAGTACAACGAGCGCAGGCCAATACATCCTAACAAGAGCAGCACTGACACGTTTTTTTTGTTTTTTTGGGATAAACATGGTCGCCATCACGCTTTTATGTTTGGGCCAGATCCCGCAGATCTAGAACACTTTTGGACACAGCAAAAGCTTATCATAACGAAGCCGAAATCACCCTTTTTTGTTTTTAAATATAATGTCTTAGAAAACTGATTACATTGTACAAAGTTTTGTGTGCTTGGCAATTTCCGTCTGTTTCAACTACAAAGTTGCATGCTGGAAGCCTGGAAAAGCCATTGAAAACTCGTGAGTTGGGACGGCATTGACCTAAAATATCTGCTTCATTTGAAGCATTACTTTGTTCTTCAGTGTATAGGATACATTGAATAGTCATTCAACATTTAAAAACCGAAATTTGGGGTGGGTGGGTAGGTCAAAACAATTTCGAAAAAATATCGAAATTTTTAACATTGACTAATCTGATTCGCCCCTTGTGCACTAGAAACCCAAGTTATCCTTTTGATTTGTTAAGAAGGATTCAACCGGAATTACAAATATATAGCCTCACGGTTATCTGGCTGTGCCTATGAATATCTCTCAAAATCTGACAGGTGTTTGAGGATGTTGCACAACTGGAAAAAAAATGACAGCCAATCCAACAAAACATTAAATTTAATGTTATTAACCCTAACCCACCTCACTCCTCCAAAATCCTCCTGGCGGTTTTGGAGGATTCTAGAGGATTGAGGATGAATGGTGATTGAATCAAATGAGGATTCTGGAGGATTGAGGATGAATGGTGATTGAAGCACATGAGGATTTTGGAGGATTGACGATGAATGGTGATTGAAGCACAAGAGGATTTTGGAGGATTGAGGATGAATGCATTTTGAGGCAGGACTGTCTGATGATATTGAAGGATTTGGCATTGGCTATCCTTCATTTAAACACGAGTGCAAAGTTTTGGGATGAGGAGGATTCTGGAGGATTGAGGATGAATGCATTTTAAGGCAGGACTGTCTGACAATTTTTAAAAATTTAGGCGGAGTTGCAACATTTTGGAAAATTTTGGAGGATTTTGGAGGATTGAGGATGGTTGTAAGCAACAAGGGCCTAGGGGGTTAGGGTTAAGGCTTAACGGCATAGGATCATTTGCTTTTCACACATTTTATTCGTTTCCAATAATAACACCACTCAAAACAATTCAAAATTACATCATCTTCGATCAACTTACCTCCATAAGTGTTCTCTGGATTTCCCTGTCGGCCGACGTCCCTTCTGAGAACCGCCGTCCTCCGATGGCGTCAATCTCATCCATGAAGATGACGCAGGGCTGGTGGTCTCTGGCGTAGGCAAACATCTCGCGGATCAGTCGGGCACTCTCACCGATGTATTTGTCTACGATGGCGCTAGACACAACCTGCGGGCAATGGGTGTCGGAAAGAGAGGGTTATAAGACTGTTGTATTGTGCATTCATACCTTGGGACAGTTTAGCTATATGTAATCCTCTTGGTCGAGAGCCAGTCATGTGGGTGTTTGGACCTGCCATTTAAACAGTGTATAAATGCAAGTTCAAACCGGTTGCGAGACCATGCTTCACAGCGCGCCCGCTGACTACAACTGAGAGTTTGAGAACAGTAGCGCACCCAGGATTTAGCTTTTGAGGAGGGGGGGGGGGCCTCAGTTATTTGTTCATTTTTTTTGTAAGAACTTTGACATTTTCAAAAAGTGTTGCCCAAAATGTTTGGCCGCAGAAAAATGTTTTGTTTTTTTTCGAGGGGGGGGGGGGGGGGGGACTATTCTGACGTTGGTTGCGCCATTTACACCCCTATTATACTACTCGAAAATATGCCACATATTTATCACCACAGTCAAATCGTGGGACAAAAAAAATTCAAAAATTGACAAAAAAAAAAAAAAACACCTGATCCCCCCCTCCCCCCCCCCCCCCCCCCCTAGTTGTGCCAACGGATGCTGAGCACACACATGGTGCGCCAAACATGGAGTAAAACGTTTGACAACAATCGTTGGTCTTTGGCAGTTGCCATATGGCACTCTTTCTGAACAAGAGCTGAATGACAGAGAAACTCAACGATGAAATTCTCACCTTTAAGAAATTAGCATCCAGCTGACTAGCTACTGCTCTGGCTAGAAGTGTCTTGCCAGTACCTAGAGAAAAGAAAGTCACTTCACATTTACATCTATGTGAACATGTCTAACATTTTTCTACTTCTAAAAAATACAACGTGTTGCTGTAAACACAACTATTCAATATTTTGCTTTCCCCAAACTGATCAGAGTTGATTCAGTCAAATACATGTTAAACCACTAAATCCCCACCTGGTGCTCCATACAGTAGACAGCCTTTCGGAGGGGTGATGCCCACTCGTTGGAACAGCTCCGGGTTCAAGAGAGGCAGCTCAATGACCTGAAAAGAACGGAGTGGCCACGAAAAAGGAAATTGGGTACGTGCATGAATCACATTTAAAAGTTCCAAGTACTTAGAACTCATATATTTCAAAACGTGCACACTTTTCTTACAATGTTCTGAAAAAAAGAAGAGCAAAAGATATCTTGTGAAAAGATGACTCGGTGTCAATAAAACTGATTCTGCCCTGATTTTGTTTCAGACCAGATTGGCAGCAAACATTAGCATATTCCACGCACACTCCAGAGGAATGGCAGGATCACTTCTTAAAGTCCCAAGAGATTTTGTGATAGGAGCCTTCTATTTACTTTCTAGAGACACCAAGCCCCATGTAAAGAAATAGTGGCTAGACAAACTTCTCCAAAACCTCCACGTGTGTTTTGAATGATTTTGAAGAGCAAGGTTCTCACAGAAATCTTAAGATGAAATTCCATGAATTTTGCAGGACAAAATTAGGGCTTTCTGTGACCAATTACAGTCGACTCTCATTATAAAGAGCACTTTTATAAAGAGGTTCTGCTTATAAAGAGCAAATTCTGAGGTCCCAAATCTCAGGTTTTCTTTGTGTTTCTTTGTTTCCCTGTCCTTTTATAACAACATTCCTGTTATAAAGAGGTAATTTGGCTAGTCCCATTGACCTTGTTATAACGAGAGTCGACTGTACTACGTGGTTTTGGCATCTTAGGAGCCCATTTACAACACACTGGCCTGTGAGGCAAGTGACACCACTCCCTGTCAGCATTCCAGTTTGGCACAAGACCACTGAGCACCACAAAAGCATCACAATAGTGCATACACATAAAACATGCAAAAAGTACAGAGTTAGTATGCATAAAGAAGAAGTATAGTACACTGGATGCAAACTGGAAGACTGTCATAGCCAAATATTACCCATCATCATATGCGGGTTGTGCGGGATTCAATGACTGTTTCCTGACTTTGTTTTTGTCGGAATATGTGACCTGTTCTGTCAAAATCAGACTTTTTTGGGCATTAGGTCAAAAATGAGATTTTTGCATATTGTTAAAAAATGTTCCTTTTCCTTTTAATAGGTGGTTTAGTTTTTGAAACTGGTCATTCCTGGGCAGAGTTATGCTATTTTGAAGTTCATTGTGTCGAAAAGTAGAAAACGGAGAAAATGGCCACGAATGTCACAAAACAGTAATTTCTTTAACTGATTTACCTTAACAAATCATCAAAAATACTATATTTAGAGTTCAAATTAGGGTTTCAAACTTTTATAGTATATTTTAGACATGTTCGGGATTACAAATATGCAAAAATTTGAAAATCGAAAAAATCATCCCCACAGCGTTTTTTGGCCCTATCTCAATTTCAACCTCTGCCCAGAAGCATCTGCTTTTGACAGAACAGGTCACATATACAGTTTCCATGACTCTTTGTAAAATGACAAAGTTCCATGACTTTTCCCAAGACTCTCCATGACAGTTTTACATTCCCGGATTTTTCCCGGATTTTTCCAATTCTTACCTCTCTAAGTTCTCTGATCTGCTCGGACAAACCACCAATGGCCGAGTAGGATATGTTGCCTGGATCTTCATGGGACATGTTGTACACCATCGGATCAACTTCTCTAGGCAGATATCTGAAATACGAGGGGAAAAAAATACAAAAATCAAGTTTGAAACAAATATGTCAAATTGTCAACATTTGTTGCAGTATGCAAACTGAAATGGTACAATACCAACCCGAGACCCCTGAAAACACTTTGCTGTCTGAACAGTCACAGACAGTCCAAAAATCAATCCCTTTCCCCTGCCATGCCTTTATACACAGGCTCGTTATCTACAAGATCATATTTCTTGTAAGCACTGTGACTCGTCAAATTCTATCAACAGACAAAAGCAGACAAGTGGTAGGCACAAATGGCTTATCAATCACCTACAGTCAAAGCATAGCTGTATCAAGTTACATAAACAGTCACAGCCAGTCAATCCTACATTTTCTAGGCAGGGTGCTCTTAACTGTTAAAAACAGTCACTTGATTGATTTTGACTGTTGGGCTAGCCTTGTTTAATTTGCCATGCAGAGAAGGAGGGTGACGAATAGCGACAAAAATCAAACATACATGACATGTACATCCACATGTACAATGTAGTTGCTGGGTTTGTGGAATACAGTTAACCCTAACCCCCTAGGCCCTTGTTGCTTACAACCATCCTCAATCCTCTTAAATCCTCAAAAAATTTTCAACTCCGCCTAAATTTTTCAAAATTGTCAGACAGTCCTGCCTCAAAATGCATTCATCCTCAATCCTCCAAAATCCTCTTGTGCTTCATTCACCATTCATCCTCAATCCTCCAAAATCCTCATGTGCTTCAATCACCATTCATCCTCAATCCTCCAGAATCCTCATTTGATTCAATCACCATTCATCATCAATCCTCTAGAATCCTCCAAAACCGCCAGGAGGATTTTGGAGGAGTGAGGTGGGTTAGGATTAAACATCGATATTAGGAATCCACCAAAAGAATTTGTGCTAAAATGGTCGTCTGTTACAGTGACTTTCGGAAGCCAGCGCTCAATATAATTGAACACAAAATTTGGGAGGCAAAAGGGGTGTTCATCGCAGCAAATTATACAGTATAAAGGTGTTTTCTATGACCATATTTGGGTTAGTTTGCATATATTATGTTCTTATCATAAAAAAATGAGGAAATAGAGTTTAAGAGAAATTTGAGTTGTTAGGATTTTGAGAGGGTACATGTAGATGTTTATATTCTGACCTCATGATTGTTAGTGTCGTCATGTCCAGGGCTACCCTCGTGCCTTGCTTCAATTTGATCTTGTCGATGCCTCGCCGACATCCCACGACATAGCGGGGACCGTTGGTGGCCTTCACGATAACTGGAAGAAGGGGGAAAGAAAATAACGTTTGCTGCTCAACAAAGGGATGTGATTCCTAGAGAACTTTTTTGCATGTTTTGTGCATTTTGAATATTTTGAATCACATCAATGATTGAAAGGGGTACAGAAGAGAAAATAGACCAAAATCATTAACCCTAACTCCCTAGGCCTTTTTGCTAGGATGTAGCCTCAATCCTGCAAAATCCTCCAATTGGCCTCATGGAAAATAGCATATCTATAGCCTCAATCCTGCAAATTCCTCAGTTATTTCTTGAATATGGTCTATGGAGGGGTGACCACTGCCTGAATCCTGCAAAATCCTCCGGCTATGACTGTCAATAGGCTGAGGCAGAGGCAGTGACATCCTGGAGCAGTGCGGAGGATGTCAAGCATAATCAAGGACTAAATTTATGCACGGCTGAGCATAAACAACACAAGGTCCGGCCCAAGACCTTGACACAGTGCGTACTCCGAAATCAGCAACACACTTTTGCTATGTAACCTCAATCCTGCAAATTCCTCCAATTTGCAAAAAGGATTTTGGACGATTTAGGGCAGTTAGGGTTAATAAAAAGAAATACATGTGCCTACTAAACAACTGTCACAAGAAATAATTTTTCATTAACATTCACATGTAAATAAAACAATGATGTAGACAGTCAGATGACAAAAAAATCCATTTAATTGTAGAAGTTTTCTTCCACTGATTAAAGAATTGAAACTTTTCTGCAAATGGTTTGTTGGTATTCACTTACACTTTTCTTCTGTCAGTTGTTTAAGAACCTCTCCAACAATCTGGGGGAAAAATGTACAAACTATATCATCCCTAACGCAACAAAAATGTAGTATGACTACAAATAGCAATAGTTTGGCGTCACGTGGTCCGTCAATAGATAAGAATGTTGGTGTGTATTGATGTGTGTACATCCAGACGATCCATTTTATTGAATTTTATTTTAGGTATAAACTTTCTAGTGTCAAAGACTGTTACATGTAATTTATCCTGTAACAATTTATCTGTCAAAATTACTAATTTCAGCATTTTCTATATTTGTAGGCCTGAGTTAGGCGAAGTAAAAAAAAAACAACATGTTTCTCGTCCCCGCCCGCTTCCTTTTTGGAGGCCGCCTGGATTTTTATTATTTTTTTATTTTTGAAAATGCAGTAAAAAAAACACAGAAAAAGTCCACAAATTCATCGGAAAATAAATTGTCGACCAATACAAGTCGAAATGACACTGTAAATATGTTCAGTTCTCTTGTCCAACTTATCTTTCATTTAAAAAGTGTCTCTGAACAGTGGAAACACCAACAATTGCAGGAAATTTTTAAATGGCGGCCATCTTGAAACAAATAAAAAATTAAAAGCCCCGCTTCCTCCTGTTTTTCAAAAACCCGGACGAGAAACATGGTTGTTTTTTTTATTCGGCCTTATTTGTATTCTATATTAAGCCCTACCTGGCCAACACTCTGCAGTGCCTTCAAATCGTTCTCTGACTTGTCATAATTCTTGGTCAGCTCTTTACATTGCTCACGCACTGTGGAGAAAAACAAAAAGCATAATACACGATAAGTCTTAGGGGCTGTCTCAGGATGCAACTGCTACATTCAGAAAATAAACTACATTGAAACAATGAGTTTTACTGCCAAACAGTTTCGCAGGTTAAGTGAAGACAAATAAAACGCATTTTATAATTGAAATAAACCACAATGGTAGGGCCTAACTGGCAACATGCATTAATTTTTTTTCAGAACCAACCTGAATGAATAGGACTACTTCTTCGTGTGGCGGCTATCAGTATGGCAGCCATAACACGATTTTCACTACTGCGAATCTACATCACATTTATAAGAATACAGGTCAACTCGTACGCGAGCCAACTCGTACGCAACAAACTCGTACGCAACAAACTCGTACGCAGGACAACTCGTACGCGGACCAACTCGTATGCGAGGCAACTCGTACGCGGATAACTGGTACGCGGGCCAACTCGTACGCGAGCCAACTCGTACGCGTGAGTATAGACTAGCAGCCGTAGCACAAGGGATTTTACTGAAACCGTAGGTTCGGGCATATTCAAGGGGACTAGTTCCCACTCCGTATCCGTAGCCGCCAACAGGGTGGTTGGTTTGGACTTCGAATTTTGTTCAGCAACTCCCATTCCTTAGTTTTGTGCTGCTTCGTTCTCAAGTAATGGACCCCCACTCAGTATCTGCGTAGCTGGCATGGACTTGAATTGTTTCTTTTCGCTGTACGACAAGATAATGCCACGTAGTGAGAATTTAAATCGTACAATGTCCGCTGCATTTGTAGACTTCCAACAATACACTGCTATGGTGGCCCCGCGCTATGTGTAAATAAAATCGTTGTATGTCTTGACAAATTCTCCACACTAGCTGCGTAGTCGGAAGTGCATGCCGCAGCATTGCACTACACATCGGTCGGAAAATGGATCATGTTTTTTTTTTAAATTTATCTTTGAAACTTTTGAACTTGTACATCGTTGCTATGGAATTTAAATTGTTGAAAATACATATGGATACAATCACAGTCATTCAGTCATACATGTACAATCGGACAGTGATAAATCGTTAACTTTGGCGTCTGTTTTGGGGTAAACTTTTGGCGATCGTAAACATCGTTCAATTTCTTTACATTTGCTAATTTCGGTCCGCGTACGAGTTGGCTGGCGTACGAGTTGGTTCGCGTACGAGTTGGCCCGCGTACGAGTTGTCCTGCGTACGAGTTGGCTGGCGTACGAGTTGTCTCGCGTACGAGTTGACCAATCCGCGTACGAGTTGACCAATCCGCGTACGAGTTGTCTCGCTTACGAGTTGGTCCGCGTACGAGTTGTCCTGTTTCCATTTATAACTGCAGGGTGATCACGGTATCACCAGGGTCTAACCATGATATATGCCCTCTGCAGTGAAGCGCGCCCTCTTGTGTGCGCTCTTCATCCGCGGTCGCGTATTGCATCCGGGCACTTCACAGACATTTTGGAATGACAGGCAACAGCCGCGGTGCGCTTTGCCAAAGATGACGCACGCTCAGTAGATCTGGTTCCTTGACCCCTTTGGCCATTTTGACTATTATTAGGGTGGCCGGGAAACAGTCTGGTAAATAGCAGAGACGCCATGCTTGTTCAAAACCGTCTGCATTCTTTGACGAATTACCATGATTTTTGGATAACTAGACCTCTGAAGGTACCAAATTTAATGATTTTGTGCTATTTAGCAGTCATACTATAGCTGGGTTGATTTTCTGCTGACAAAATAATTTCGATCAAATTAATTAATTTTTGGCTCCCTTTCTGGAAGTAATGAGATACATACACCATTGTACATGTGTAACACTATTAATATATATATTACTGTTTAAATAATTAATTACAGAAAATTTCTAACAACACAACACGCATTCATAAAGAAAAACAAAATTTACGAAATAGATGCAGTACCTTTTCCGCTTGCCGTGTTGCTCATGTTTTTCTATTGAGACAATGGCAATGCAATCTGACTCAGCAAACTTTTTACAAAAAGGGCATATTTCAACGCAAAATAACTACATTTTTCGTTTAAATTTACTAACAAGATTTATTTTACTTCAATCAATATTAACCCTGCTGTCATTTCACATACTTACTTTCTTTCAAACGAGCATCTAACTCTTTGTGTTCGAGTAATTTTTTACGATAATCTTGGATCGCTTTCTCCCGTGCGTCCGCCATGATGACCAAGTTTGACGACGATGGCTGAGGGCGCCCTACATCGATGCGCCGGCACGCACGCGCACGCGGCCGGCCGGCGGGCTGCGGATTATGGAAAACTTTCTCGTATAATCATAAACATCAAAATGTTGCAAAAATTGTTAGAATTTATCAGAGAACATCCAAACGTGAAGGAAAAAACCCATAAAATGATTCTGTCTAATTGTTTAAAACCATGACATTACAAATTCATGCAGAACTATCATTAAAAAGCCAGCAGCTAGAGTAGACAAATTTGAGAAGACAAGTTGATACCTCCCGCCCCCCACTCATGCTCAGAATTATATAAACCGCACGATACAACCTGTTTTGTGCTAAATAGGCCAACAAAAGCGTTTTCAAAACGTGTTACAGTTTACAGGCCTATTTGGTGAATAGCCATTGACTAACTTTTCACTAAATTATAATCTTCAAGAAATTAGGACTTGAGTTAAGATAGTTTCTAGAGGTCCCCCCCCCCTTCCCCCCAAAAATATATTCCTTACCATTATTGGGAATAAAGGTGGAGGGGAAGGGCGGTATGAAAGAGAAATTTGTCCCTAAAGAATTATGCGGTGCATTTATCAAAGAGGTTTCAGTTCCGGAGTTATTGTGCTTTACATGCAAGGTTTTAAATGTACATGCATCTGCAAACATACGCCACAATTGTATTCACCACCAATCAGGTTCTTCTATAGTCCAAAAAAAAACCCCTCCGCCATTATTCATTCAAAAAACTCCTAAATTTGCTTTTTTTTTAATCCTCACACTGGGCTTTCAAAAAGTTGATGCTGTGAAGTTCGAGTGCAGATATGTGTACCATCATGATATTTTTCTTTGATGACCAAATGCATCTTCTTCACTTTTACTTAGGCCTGGGCCTAAACTACAGTGGTTCAAAAGGGTAATTTTTTTTTTCAAAAACAATGTTGGCCTCTGGAAAGTAATGATGTCACAATGTTTACACAAACTGCTTTCTTATGGGATCCAGTTCAGGATGCTATCCAATAAGAAAGTAAAACAAACGTGTGACGATCATCTAATCCAACTTAGTGCTGAGACAAGATACATAAACACTCGCGAAATAATATCGGGGTTTTCCTGGCCAATTTCCTGAAACGTTATTCACTTCTGAAAATCGGTCATTCCTTTTCGTCTGAATTTGAACGCATGTCTTTAATCCCATTACAATTCAACGAAAGTTCAATCGTTTTTATTGTCCGTGCATTCGGTTTTGAGAAACAGACGGCCAATTACGTTACCCGTGCATTCATTTACGCAAGCATACGTTTTCGCGTAGAGTTCTGGAATACAATTTCGTGAATGTGCAATCAAAATTACGTTTTTCTCATTCAAAATAGCAGATTACATCACAGAACATTAAACTAAAAGTGAAATAGAATGGACAATGTTTGAAATCGCCCTCTAAAAGCGAAAAAGAAGTCTTACAAAGGAATCTGAATGAACATAATTTAAACGAAAGGTGCTGCCCAATCACTTAACTGATTGAACTGACATGCAATCGAATGCTCTGGTAGCGAAAATGAAAAGCATGTTCAGAGCGATTCTCAAATTCAGACAAAAACTAGAGGTTGTATGAACAACCACACGGTGTTGGGCCATGGATTACCGCAGACTTTGCCACACACATCAACTCAAAATATGCATGTTTAAATCCATGTTTGAATTTTTCAACATGCCGCCAGAGGGCGCTCTAACATTTGATGACGTCACCTGTAAAATGTTTGTACAGTACTACCTAGGCAGACACTCACATCGTTGAAAGCAAGTTCGCATCTTCTGCCAATTTCAAATAATAAGGCACTTCCGGTTTCGACCGGAAGGAAGGGTCACGTGATTTTGCACTTAATACCAAAAATGAAGACCCTGCAATATTGTATCGATTGCCATAAAAAACAAAATCAAATCTGTAGCAGTTGATTTTATATTGATTTTCAAAGATCAAATCTAGAAATCTTTGATTGCTTGTAATATGATACTTGATGACGTCATTGTGACGTCATTACCAGAAAGTTCAAGAGCTATTTTAACTGTGCTATATACAGCCAAATCTTGATTATATCTATCACGGTTGATTTTTTAGCAATTTTTGAAGGTTTAAAGATCTTTTTATTGTAACTTCCGGTCTGATGACGTAATCAATTTTTTTTCGCACACAGGTGTTGTCTGCATTATGGTCATCATGTACAATAATTTTGAAGCGATTACCGCAAACTTCGCCACAGACATCAAGTGAAAATGCGTTTTTCGCGTTTTTTAACCTGCCGCTAGAGGGCGCTCCAACTCTTCATGACGTCACCAATTTTTTTTTTTTTGAAAGGTCGATCCAGGCAGACATCAACACCGTTGAAAGCAAGTTCATATCTTTTTCCACTTTCAAATTATTAGGCACTTCGGGTTTCGACCGGAAGGAAGGGTTACGTGATTTTACACGCACAAGATAAAATGAAGATCATATATTATCATGTCGATTCTTGCAAAATTCAAGTTGCGGTCTCTGACGGTTGATTTTATATTGAATTTCAAAGATTAAATTGATTATTTTTTGAAGTGACGTCACGTGACCCATGATGACGTCATGATGACGTAATTGCAAAAAAGCACATCTTCAGTTGGTTGTGCATTCATGTATTGACAATTGAAGTTCATATATGTTTTCATTTTGACAAACAGTTCCGGAGAAGAATGTGTCTTGAAGAATAATAAAAAAAATAGTAAATTCTTACAATAACAATAGGTGTTGGGCTGAGGCCCAACACCTAATGAATGACGATTTTCTGAAGTGAATGAACATTTTAGGAGATTGACCGGGAAAACCTATACTAACAAATATATAAATCAAAACCATACACACAATCCAAATCACTCTGCCATAGTATGTAGTCTAGTTTTCTGTAACCAGCTGTTTTTATTAGAAGGAATACATCAAGACAGGATTTATCTACAAGTACATGTTGAGACGTAAAAATGCTGACATCCATTCCAAGTTTCAACACTGTTGGTGCTTTAGCCTATACCTCATGATAAATAAATCCACTATCCAAATACACATAACAAAAGTAAATATCACAGATGAAAAAAAAAAAACGATAAGAATACAGCCTATATACCTCAAGGTCTACTTCATAAATATAAATAAAATTTGAGATAAATCAAAAAAATGCCACTAAGTATTGAATGAAAACATATTTAAGCACATAGTACAGAGATTCCTAAATATGTATGTGAAGGTGTTTTTGTACATAATTACATTGCTTGTATTTACATTGTGAAAACCCTAGGAATGCTGTTAAAGTGGAGTTGCATAGATCTGGGAATTCTTCTAAAAATGTGATTATTCATCGAGCAACATTTCTGAATGCCAAACCATTATTACCTATACAACTTAATTCCCTAATAAAAGCCACTTGTTGTTTCCAATTTAATTCACTGTTCATGGGCACAATTTCACAGAACTATAGATTGTTTGCACTCGGCACCCATCCTTGAGGTGTTTTGTTATGCTAATTTATTAACAATGAATGCACAAGAGTTTACTCATGCGTATCGGTGTTGAACAAAAACACACGCCTCAAAGATGACCGCTGTGCAAACCATTTATTAAGCTGAAGACACTGTTTAGAGAATTTCAAAAAAAGTGGTCAAAAACAAGACACATCTCATGGCATTTGGACTGGGGTTACTTGTCTTATTCTCAGTAAATGCGTTCTTTAACCCTAACCTTCCCAAATCCTCCAAAATTCTCTTTGCAAAATGGAGGATTTGCAGGATTGAGGCTATATGGCAAAAGTGTACGGCTGATTGTGGAGGATGCACTGTGTCAAAGTCTCAGACCTTGTGTAGTTTATGTGTAGTTTATGCTCAGCCATGCACACATTTAGGCCCAGATTATATTTGAAATCCTCCGCACTGCTCCAGGATGTCACTGGCTCTGCCTCAACATATTGACAGCGATTACTGGAGGATTTTGCGGGATTGAGACAGTGGTCACCCCTCCAAGAACCACATTCAAGAAATAATGGAGGATTTTGCAGGATTAAGGCTGTATGCTATTTTTACATGGAGGCAGTTGGAGGCTTTTGCGGGATTGAGGTTGCATCGTAGCAAAAATGCCTAGGGAGTTAGGGTTAATCATCAAATTTGCGCTTTTAAAGGTAAAAGACACCATTTGCAAACATTCAAAAACGATACTGTCAAAATATCATGAAATATCCAACTCGATTGTAAGTACTAGGATTAAGCATCCTGTGAAATCATTGCGCCTAGTTTGCCGTCATTTTTAGACGAGAAATAACCGTCATTTCCTCATGATGGTTAGGACCAAACCATTGCGCGGTCAACAGAAACCTACGCTTTGCTTGAGAAAAATGAAGATTCAGTTTTGCAGTTTTCTTAAAAATATATTTTATGTACCAAATCTACCAAATATTTAATAACCTGCTTCAGATTCATTGTTAGGTTATCAGCATCGGTCAAAAAATTGGGCCACCGGTATCAAATGATCGAAAGGAGCAATGCTCAGAGCGAGTTTTTGCAAGGTATGCACATCTAGAGTTGGAAAATGTGTGATAGCTTTGCAGTGTGAGCGGTGGCAGTTTTTTGGGTGTTGTCACTTTAATTTTTTTTTTCAAAATGGCCGCCAATATGCTTCTTACCAGATTAATTATATGCGGTAACATGTTTTGGCCGCCATATTTTTTATAGCACCCAAAATGCTGCCACCGCTGCAATGCTATCACATATTTTCCAACTACAGGGGTGCATACCTTGCCAAAAATCACAATAAACATTATTCCCCTCATTTGATACCGACCAAACCCCCAGACCTATGTCTTGTTGTTCCTTAAAATAAAAAGCAACACCCTTTTTGCAAATAGTGTCCATTACCTTTAAATAATACTTCAGATGAAATATTACCTGGTCAAGGCAGGTGATAAAAAACATGGACCTTTCTGAAATTAAAATATGCCGCCCTTCAAAAATAAACTGGCCATGACATCATGTAAGCTGCAGTTCAGAAAAAAAATGAACACTTCTTGCCTTCAGATTTAAACTTGATACTGTAGTTTTGGTTCATATACATCAAGACCAGTTCTATGGGAAAGTGCTAAAAAATCTGTAAATTACATTCCAAAATTTGAAATAAAACAACAAAAAATAACCCAAGAGAGACAGCCCCGCCCCTTATATTACAAAACATAACCATGTGTGCATGATATGAGGTAAAACAATCACTTTCTGAAGTACATGAATCAAGCAAAATTAAATACCATAAAATTTAACCCAAAATCAAAATACAGTACATATAAGCACTTAGAACTTTAAAGTATAGTACATTTTTTTTCTCTCTTATTAAGCTTTGGTCATGTGAGACTGAATACACTCTTTTAAGAAGCAGCAACTAACAAGTAAGTTTTCTCATAAAAAATATAATTTAGAATTTTTTTTTTTCATCATAAAGCATGTTGAATTCTTTACTCGTATTTTACTTTACATTTTAGTTTTTCCATTGAATGTCAAAAAAATTCTTAATAATCATAGTACTATTGTAACGAATTCTCAGTTTTATACATTTATCAAGTTATTCAAAACATTTTTCAATACTTTATTCAATTTTTTTTTCTTTCAATTTATTTGATTATTTAATTTGTCATAACTAGAAATGGGACACTCAGGACAAATGTATTCAACACAAGTCCTTTTTTTCCTGGTGATGTTGGAATGATTCTGGACTAAAATTCAAAACGTTGGACTTGATGTCATCAGACCCCTATTTGTTTGAGTCCAAAGCATCGTGTGAAAGCATGGGTACATGTACCTTATGTGGCCTGTTGTAGAGCTGTATATGGGTCCTTTTATAAATTTAGGATCCAAAGTGTGATTTTTTCCTGTCCCTGTTACTTTGGTACTTTGTAATTTGCCACTCAAGCATCATCAAGAATGACTTCAAACCATTTTTTTTTTCATTGTTGGGTAGGTAGTTTGCTATTCATAAACACTCTTGGAGGATGACTGATATGATACACCGTGCCCTCTGGAGACATGCACACAATAGGGAACAAAAGATTGTATACATCTCCACAGGGCAATTTCTACAGATGAATACGTCTCCAAAAAGTTTTCACAAAAAGATACATGGATTTTACTCAATAACTAGGAATTTCTAAGGTTACAAAAGGTATGTTGATATGTCGCAAATGGTAGAGTTTTATAAAAGGGCTATTAAGTCCGAATTTCAGCCAAGGGAATTAATTCTGGTTAAAATAAGAGCATTTTGAAACTGTACTTTCAAACTCGAAAACTTTAGTACACGAGAACAAAGAAATGTCTCCACAAGGATACAAATTTCAGTATGTGTGCATTAAGAAGTGCATCAGATGCCAGATGCACCGTATATGTAACAGGGACAGGGAAAAAGTGGATCCCGAGTTTATAGAATGACCCACATAGAGTTGCTACAACTATCAACCTGGACGCCATTAATGGTCCACTTAGCTAACGTAGTGGCCATAACGCTATGGGATTTCCGTGCATTCATCAATTTCTATAATATTCTGTCACTAATGTTGACAATACCATTAAAAAAAACCCGGAATCTCATGACAAGAATGTTGTCCCCATTCTTGGACCCAAAAAGGCATCCAAAATCGGTAACACTCATGTCGCAACATACGGCTCTTGCCTGTTCATGTTCTAGTACAGTTATGTTCCTGTTAACAAAACTGTGCATGACATGGTCACTGTAAGGAAATTCTGGCTAATTATTGGACTATAATTTTATGAATACTGTAATCCAATCAAGCATCAGTGTCTTTGGCCAAGCAGCAAAAATATAGCAATACCTAATTTGGGATTTTTTAAAAGGATTTTTGTTTAAACCCCACCATGCTCAATTCAACAAGATTCTGCATGAAGCCTTGAGGGTTAGGGTTATTTATTAGTAGTGGTACCAGTATATATATGGCATTAATGGATCTTGTGTTTTCCCGAAACGATTCTCTACACATGCATATTCCAATGTGCATGACGGCACTTTAACCAAATTATTTACATAATACATCCACTCTCATGAACTTTGTTATGCACATAATTCATCACGTAAACACTTTGCCCTCAGCAAAAAGAATCCAACAAATAACGGTATTTCCAGTACAAATCTATTTCAACTGGTACCCATGAGCCAAGCTGGCATCCAGGGATGTTTCAATACCAGCACTCCTCATTTTCACCAGCGTTGGAGTGCTTGTACATGGAGCACATCTGTGTCACATTCGCCTCCATTTTCCGCACTTTGCATGTTCCCGATATCAGATGCAAGGCATGGTTTTCCAGTCTGTTTCCTTTTGGGGAGTTTTAAAAAGCTGACGTCCTGTTGGACTAGGTCCAGAAGTTCAGTCGTCACGTATTTACACAATTTGGTATAAAAAGCTGATTGGCTGAGGAGCCTCAAAACAACGGCCTGACACGGGGGAACAACTGCAGGTAAAGAAAAGAAAGACATAAGAACTGATCAAAAACAAAGGAAAAGCTGCATGCATAACTGTTAAAAGGAGCCATTTCGTGTCCAGTTTTTAAGAAACATGATTGCTAAGGCTGGTTCATACTTTATGCGAAAGCAAAGGAATTTTCATGATGTCACCGATGAAAGTGTCATTGGTATGTTCAACATTTATACCCAAACGAATTTGCTTCGCACCAACATTTCGCACCAACATTTCGCACCAACATTTTGCATCAACATTTCGCACCAGCAAGTGTGAACTGGCCTTTATACTGCTTCGCATCTACAACTTTGCAATAATGGGTTTGATCCTTCCAAAATTGCCAACAAAGTATCAGGAGTCAATCACAAGTCGTCCAGTTTCAAGGCCAGCGATGAACTTTGACAAATGTGTTCCTCCATCACATTGTTCTTCCCCTTAAAATGTGCCCAGTGGCCAAAAACTATCAAAACCCCCCCCCCCCCCCCCCCCCCCCCCCCGATGGGAATTTTGGAAGATTGTGTTTTGGGCGGGTTAGCGTTAACCGACACTCACCCCGAACAAGTTCCTGGGTATGTAGCCCATCTGGTCGCCCTTCTTGGCCCACCACCATTCTGTCTCTTCCTCATCGCCCCGTCGGATCACCGTCAGCTCCTCTCCGTCCTTGAAGGCGAGCTCGTCCGGCTTCTCGGCGTTGTAGGAGTAGACGGCAAAGATGCGGCCGCCGTTCAGGATGCCCATCTTCTCCTGAACGCCTGTTGCAAAGAGAGGTAAACACCGACTGTCATATTTGTGAGAATAAAGCATGGGCCTCAGTCACGAGTCGACCATATTGAATTGAAAGTTAGGTCAAATCTTAATTTTTGGAGCTTTCGAAGAGAAATGAAAGCAACTTAATGTCAAATAAATTCCAGTCTGCTTCAATAAATAATTTGACATTTGTAATTAAACATTCCCAAATGTTTAAAGCCATATTTTAAAAAAATGTCAGTAAAATAAGGCTGCATGATGCCTGCATAAAAAGTCTGGCGCCATCCCATTCAACAGTTAACAATTAATGAAATACATTCAGGGTACTTGACAAAAAATGGCCAACTCGGGAATAAGGCCCATGATTGCTTTGTCAGCAGAAAACCCTTAACATGCCTTGTTTTCATTTCCAGACAGAGACTGGAGGCCTGATCCCGTGTCAAAGTTCAATGAAACTGAATAACTTGGGACAAATTTATCATAACTCTGATTTTGAGGGACTAAAAAACTGGCTCACACTTCACGCCAATTCGAATATGAAGCGAATATGACGTCGGGAAACATTCGCTATGAAATTCACAGGAGTTGAAACGTATTCAACTTTTGCAAAATCACTGTGCGAAAAAGTTTCCATGACATCAGGAATTCATTTTCAATATTGTGAGGGTGAACCGGCTGTCGTGCAGCTGCAGATGACCTGATTTGACCCAAATTTATTTTTGCATTTTACTTGAAAAATCTGCCACAAGCAACATCAGTTTCAAGTTGCTGGGAAGAACAGACGCGATGCATTAACTAAACCTCATCACATGTAAGATCCAAGGTAATAGAAATGAACAATGACAAAGGAACGCTGTTGTCACAGTTCAATGGAATAGCTGGTGACTTGAGACTGGATGAATTGTGATTGACTTGTGATTGACTTGTGATTGACTTGTGATTGACTTGTGATTGACTTGTGATTGACTTGTGATTGACTTGTGATTGACTTGTGATTGACTTGTGATTGACTTGTGATTGACTTGTGATTGACTTGTGATCGACTTGTGATCGACTTGAAGATGGACTTGTGATTGACTTGTGATTGACTTGTGATTGACTTGTGATTGACTTGGGATTGACTTGGGAATGACTTGGGATTGACTTGGGATTGACTTGGGATTGACTTGGGATTGACTTGGGATTGACTTGAGAGTGACTTGGGATTGACTTGAGATTGACTTGGGATTGACTTGGGATTGACTTGGGATTGACTTGGGATTGACTTGGGATTGACTTGGGATTGACTTGGTATTGACTTGAGAGTGACTTGTGATTGACTTGTGATTGACTTGGGATTGACTTGGGATTGACTTGAGAGTGACTTATGATTGACTTGGGATTGACTTGGGATTGACTTGGTATTGACTTGGTATTGACTTGGTATTGACTTGAGAGTGACTTGGGATTGACTTGGTATTGACTTGGTATTGACTTGGGATTGACTTGCGGTTGACTTGTGATTGACTTGTGACTGTCTTGCAGAGATGCCACAGGGTCTGCTTGGAAAAAACGGAACTAGGTCTGCTTGAAAAAAAACGGAACGGCTGCTTGAAAAAACGTGTCCGACACAAAGTCCCCATTGTCATTTTTATCTTGTAGCAAAGCCAAGTTCTGTTTATTTTTAATTTTGCTTCTATGGCCTTTAAAGCTGTCGGTTCGTTCAATCACTTTGATTTTTTCCACATTCCTAATATTTATTCTGCCTACCCGAATTTCCAACGTAATATTCGACACGAAACGTGCATGATTCCACAACACTGCTGTCGGTGTACATGATCCTTGCACTACGCGATGCGCTCAACGAAAACATGGTTGGTACCTCTTTTTTTGTATTCACATATATCACTGCGATCGGAAACCACCGATAGCTGTAATGATAGATTTGATTTCCAGGCTGAATGCTACGTGTGCTTAGCATACAGCACGCCCGCACGCGGTGAAGCACGCGCGAGGCGACGTTGGATACTGCGTGCAAGTACGTTGGCCGCTTGTATCGCATGCAGGCTCGGCAACAACATACACAAAGACTGTTTTTAAGACTACTTCAACGAACAACGTTGTGCTATGCGTGCGCCTAAATGTACTAAATCGAGGTAAAAATCAACGCATTTCCACAGTTTTTCTTCTCTTTTTCTGGTTAATTTGACGGCTGGAAAAAACGGAATTTTGTGAGATTCTTTTTAAAAAACGGAATTCCGGTTCAAACCGGAAAAGTGGCATCTCTGGTCTTGTGATTGACTTGTGAGTGACTCTTGCCCTCAACTTCCCGACTCTTAGGCTCCTTACCAAAGAGATACTGTGAGCACATCTTGAAGCCTTCTTCCTCTTCTTCACACTTGTCTGCTGCCGTCTCCTTGTCGCTGATGGTGGAGGCATAGATGCAGGCCCCGTGCTCCACCAGGTTGCGCACCATGATCACGTTGTTGCAGGAGGCAGCGCAGTGAAGAGGCGTCCTGACAATCAATGAAGGCAAAACAAACTATCAATATTTACACTGGTTTGGGATTGAGTTGGTAAAAAAAATTCAATGTTGCGGTCAGGAATTTTTTGGGGTAAATGGTGTCACATTTTGAGTAGCATTTAGCGTATGCCTGTGTATCTGTATCTGTATCTGTTACCTTCTGTACAAACGCCTGGTGTGGCTATCGCGTACAGCCTCATGGTGTATGTATGAGGATAACTGCCAGAAGCACCGGGGCAAACCCCTTCTCTTAGCGATAAGTGTTTGCTAGGTTATTTTTTTACGTGCATTTATACAACACACGGGACCTACAACTTTACGTCCCATCCGAAGGACGAAGCAATAATGGTTAAGTGCCTTGCTCAAGGGCACAAGTGTCCGGGCCCGGGTTTGAACCCACGCCACTGTTGCCTCTGAAACACCAGAGTGCGAGTCCAGTGTTCTTAACCACTTGGCCATCTCACCATCTGCGCTAAATGGTTAACAATTTGCTCACTGAACTACCACTCAAATTTACACATTAGTCATTGTGACGTCGTGACCATTCTATCTATGTAATATGGTACAGTAGTAATCTAGCATGTAAAAATTAGACAGTTAAGTTCTGAGTATTAGGGATTTTGATTATGGGTATTAACCTGAAAAAAAGGGTATGCTACAAATCTTCAATTGCTTCATCAACACAGCCCGATTCCAAGTATAATTGACAATAACCTAATAAAAGAACGGATCTTTCTAGAGAGCATGTTAGCCAATCAACAAAGATTCTAAGCAACACTGAGCCTGTGTACTGTTTGAAAACCTGCCCAAATATTGTCCAGTTGATTTACTCATGCAGCTACCAGGTACGTGTAAAGTTAGCTCCAACAACTTACCATCCGTCACTATCTGGTGAGTTTACATCCACGCCGTTCATGATGAGGAAGTTGACTATCTCGTAGTGGTTCGCACAGATGGCATTGTGAAGAGCCGTGATACCCTCATCATTGGCACCACTCGGGTTAGGCACCTGGAGCAAAAAAAAAAAAAAAATCATTAACAGCTGGATGCAAAAGTTTCCATCCACTTCAAATGATGTCATTTTGGAAAGCATTGTCTTCTTTTGACATTCTATTCTTCACAATGTCTTCTTATTGCTATAATCTCTCAATGTGGAAAACAGTTCAGTCCACAGCAGTGTTTAGAATTCAAATTGTCTGTCATGTCAAATACTTGTAGGCCCATGAACCAAAATACATACACTTTATGTATCACACGGTCGGGTTGTCCTCAGGAAGCTACAGTGCAGCATCACGGAGTGCATATTATATAGTCAATGCATATAATAAAGTTTGTTGCAATTCGGATGATTCACAATGAGTGCGCCACCAGAGTTAATTATTCCCATTGCATTGTGGAAGATGGTCGACAAATTCGCAGGACATTTGAAATTGTTAGTTTTTCTGGTCAATAGTTTCGCATGATTCAAGTAATGTTTGCCGTTTTCTTTTCTTTTTATCAATATGGTGTTTTGTGTAAGTCAGCAGAACGCTATGCCCCTGTCTATAACAAATTAGCTCAAGTTGTCTACTGACACTCATTCAAATGGGCCATGTTTTGTCGATCGAAAAATTGAAAAATGGACTCTCCATGGCAAACTCTTGGTGGCGCACTGCATTGTGAATGGCCTGAATCGTTGAGTTTTTTTTTTATGAGTGACTCACCTCTGGCATTATCCTTCGGACAAGATCAAACTCTCCTTCCAGGGATGCATCTAGTAGTAAGGCCAAGGGGTCAAAGCGTACCCTGATGGTCTTCTTCAAGGCACCTTCTTTCTTCAAGATGCCTTTGACTTCTCCCTTCCCAGTGACACTCCGGTTGCTGATGACCGGGGATCTTGAGAGTTGGGACAGGGCAGCGGTGTACTGCTTCTGACTCAGGATGGCATTGTTCCTAAAGTTCATGTCTTGGTCCTTCTTGCTGATGTCGTTTGGCTGTGGCTCCTGCTTGGAAGGATCCTGCTGTTCCTGATTGTTCTCGTTCACAGTGGGCTCTGTGCTGCCGATCTTGAGGAAATTCAGGCTCTCCTTGTCCTCAGAATAAGAGAGGCGCTTCTTGAGCGGGCGGGGCATGTTCCGCAACCTCTGGAAATCCGGGTGGTGGTAGAGATGGCTCATGGGAAGGTTCAGCGGACTTGGTGGGCGGTTTGGACTGAGGGGGGCGTCATCTTCATCACGTGATGACTGGGAGCCTTGGAGGCTGCTGGTCAGTGGAAGGTTTCCAAGTAAGGTTCGACCAGGCGGATTGGGCTGCATGTCAGGGAAGAGGCTCCTGACTGCCAGGTTCTTCTTTCCACCGTCGGTTGACGTGATGCCTTTCTCATAACTGGGGCGGTTGTAATTGCGCATCTGGGCCGGCGGCGGTGGAACAAACATGCCGACCGTTGCCGGTGATCTCTGATGGCGGGGTCTGGTGGGATCAGGGGCGGAGGAGCCAGTGGAGGAATATGGCTGGGGAAGCTCAGGTCGCGGTGGCGGAATGTCAGAATTGACAGAGGCAGGAAGTTGGGTGTTTGCGGACTGACCAGAACTTGGTGATCCTGGTTGTGGCCTCATGACAGGACCAGATAGACCATTACGAGGACCAATCACAGGAGAGGAACTACCAGAGCTCCGCCCACTAGATAGTTTTGGACTACCAGGATGAGTGGAGGCTGTTGAGGTAGGACCATACTGGTTTCCTTCATGCTTAAATGGGACACTTGGGGATGACGGCTGGCTTGACACCGATGGGTACCTGTGGCCGTTGGGGGCAGGTGGACCACTTCTTGACGGAGAGCTTGGAGTGGCATTTGATAGCCCAGTTGTGACTGCTCTTGGTGGGGGAGGGGGTTTCTTCTTGCCCTGGGGTGAAGGCTGTTGTCTGTTACCATTATGGCCTTGTGAGCTGAGAGAGTCAGTGCTTGCACTCCTTGTCCTGAAGTCAGTCTCCGTATGGTTGCCATTTCCATTGCGGGATGGGCTGCCAGGAGCTTGTCCAGGACCAAAGCCAGGTCTCCAGTCACCTGGTTGAGGAGGTCCACGGTCATTCAACAATTCTGCAGGTGGGGGAGACAGGGCAGCCTCTAAGCTTGCTAGATTGTACATGGGTGATCTGTCACCAGCTCGCCTCTCTGAGAGGGACGCTAACCTTGGGTCTGTCTTGGCCATGGGGATGGGCTGTGAGGACATGGGGCTTCCAGACCGCTGAGGTACAGGAGAGCTGCGACTGTCAGGGCGTCTGTTTGATCCCTGCTGCTGATTGGGTAGAGCGCTAGTGGGCATGCTGTCCACGCTAGAGTTCTCTGTCAATGAGGAGGTATCGCTGCCACTTTCATTGATGCCCTCAGATTTGCCGCGCGATGGCTGGACAACATCCAAAGATGTGGAATGCCAGGCAGCCGGGCCTTGGTGCGGCCTGTTGGCAGACATAGGCGAGCCTTTTCCAGGAACGCCCGAGGCACTGCTCTGGTTCGTCCTGGGCTTGAAGCTCTGTGGAGGGAACAGCGTGGCAGGCTTTGGAGGCATCGGGCGACCAGTGGGACCTGGTCTTCCCTGGACCCCATAACCATTGGGTGGAGGAGGTCCTGAGATATCTCCATTGGCCATGGGGGATCTCCTACCGGGATCATTTGGCATCCCCCTTGGGTCCCCTCTATAGTTCATTCCATTGCCCGCATCTCTTGCTTGGCTTCCATTCACTGGCCTGTCCAGCTTCATGTTGCCGTTGGGCAGCCGACTCTGTGATGAGGCATTGTTGTTGATATTTGTTCCTGGAGGAGGTAGCTGAGGCTTGCCCAGGCTTCGGGTCTTGCGCAGTCTGTCTGTCAGCTCCTCGATGCGTCTGTCCACCACTGCCATCTCCTCCTTCCGATGGACCATGTTCTGTCGCTGCTTCTGCAATGTGGCACTCTGCTCCTCATTCAGTCTATTACGAAGCTGCAAAATAAAAACAACTGATAAATGAGGGACTAGAATAAAAGTTAAGGAAATAATCATGCTTACTCCATTTTAATATAGTTTTCAAAGCTACTTCACCAACTAACGGCATGAAGTAGCTTCAAGTCAAACCTCCTCCACAGATACTGTGTCACAGACTTCCTCCAGGGGCACTTTTTCAAAAAGAGGCTCTCTACTGACATTTGTAACTTGGGTTTTCCTTCTGTCTCTATTGAGTTCTTACCAAGACCAACTTGTGATTTTATTACAAGATATTTAGCTTTTTACTCTCTCATTGTGCAGCTGTCACGAAAGACCAGGATGTCAAAATGTGAATTCCTTGAGAATGTACTTTAGCTGATTTTCAGATGGAAACTGTGCAGCAGTATATTCTGCTAAAAAAGCTAATCGGCAAGAATGCAACGTTTGGAAACACCATGAAAACTGAACAACTTTCCAACTCTGGTATATTTTGTCCCGAACGTTTAAAGACATTCCCATGAACTAAGAACCAGCCTCACTCACCAAGAGTTCCTTGCGCAGTCTGTCCAGCTCTTCGTTGGCGGGAGACTTGTAGACATCCCCGTTGATGCCATTCAGGTTGCCATGTTTCAGCTGTTCAAGCTGTTGGCTAAGCTCCTCTACCTTTGCCACGGCTTGAGCCAGCTCCTTCTCCTTCTGGGCAAACAGGGTCCGGACTGAATCCAGCTCTGTGGCTGTTGAGGTAAAGGAGAATACGTTTTGCTATTTTTCCAAGTTTTCCATCACCGGCTGTGGCTTCATTTTGGGCACCAGACACATTTCCAATTGTTAACATTTAGGACGAAATGAGATTATTCTGGTCTCGAGATCAGTCTAGTGGTGGGATTTAAATAAGGATTTTTCAAAATTTGTAACATTGGGAGAGAATTTTATAAAGGTCCTAAGGGAGAACAGTGAGCAATTCTGCTAAACACTGAAACCAAATGCCCAGAAAATGTACTTCACCAGCCAAATATCATGAGATGTTGTGTTTCTACAAATCATTTCCAGTTAAATTTTGCAATACTTTCAGCTAAGCACCTCAGTAAAACTGGTTTGGATAAGATGCTATTAATAGCAATGTAAAAGAAATAAGCACGAATCCAACTATGGCTATTCCATAGTATATTTGGGACATTTTCACTTGTTTGAAATTCTCCTCACGCTGAAACTATTTCAGTACACAACCATCTCCAAGACTGTTTGTTTTTGGTTCTTCTGCAGTTGTAGTCTTTGGAAACATCTGATTTCCTGGTTTATCTTTGTTCTCTCAGGGAGGCTATGGATGTGGCTGCTACCGTACTTACACAGGGTGTGGTTGCTGTTTTTGGTGGAGTCGGCCTGGCCACGTAACGCTCGCAGCTTTCGGAGCTTCTGCTCCTGAGTGTCTACTTTGTCTCGGAGTCGTCGCAAGCGCTCGTCCTCAGCAGCCATTTGCTAAAATAATAAGTAGGAAAGGAAAAGAATTCGTGAACTTTTTGATAATGGATATCGTGCAAAGTTGGATCGTACTAGGAAAGAAGGAAGCCATTGTGGTCGTGTTCCCTGAATGTATTTTACAAATTGTGAACTGTTGAATGGGATGGTGCCAGACTATTTAATCATTCTAGCCTCACTTTCAATTTTTTTTTAAATGTGGCTTACACTAGGTTATGGTTAATCACAAATTTTAAATTATTCATCAGAGCACACTGGTATTAATTTGTAATTAATTGGATGTCATTGTTTTCGTTTCTCTTCGCAAGTTCCAGAAATGAAGATTTTACCTCGCTTTCAATTAAGGCCAAGTTTGCGCAAGGACTATAGTTGACCAATGGTTAACTAACGCTTGCCCGAACTCTGTCTAGTCAACGGTGGTTGACTACGCTAGTCGACTATTTGGAACCAGCCTACTGGGGTTGGTTGCCTCGCTGGTAACCAATAGCTGCGCGCATTCATAACGCTAGCAGAGAGCCAGGATCCAGAAGTTTTGCGATGACATTTTGACCAGCGTTTGACTAGAGACGTTCGCACATTGCTATCAGTGCGCAGGCGTAAGGTACGTCACAAATCAACCACTAGACATCTAATGGTCCTTGCCCGAACTTGGCCTTAATATGGCCGACTCGTGAATAAGGCCCATGGTCATTCATACACGTAGGTATTTCAAAATTTCACTTTGTCAACAACTGAGTTCCAGGGGCTATTGTTGGCTCATGCACTAGGCAAGATTTTCCCAAACGATTCAATACAATCGTGAGTAATTTGATCACTGCATATTATAACGCAGACAGCGTAAAAAGTAATTACTGGCCAACAATAAGAAAGAAGTACACAGTGTTGCAAACCTTCAGCCAACTATCCATGCATTAACAAATGATTCACTCATCCATAGGCACCTTTCGGACTTAGACAAACAGATCTTTCGATTTTTGTCCACTCTCTCTTCCCAAGAAAAACAACAGTTTTGTCACGTGCAACACAAAACCCCCTACTGTTTCGCAGGCGGGATCCTGCATGTTCGGCCGGCCAATTAAAATTTCCAATGCCGTGTTGCCACTGCGGGGCACTGCACAAAGTCAAGGTTTCTGCGTGTTCGCTTGCACTCAAAGTGTGTATCTGGTGACTAAAATCCCCCGCATGCCCAATAAGGAAACCCAATATTTCGGTGGGAAGCTCAGCCCATAAATACTCCAGAAACGTGCCATTATGGAGTGATTTCTGTCGCACCGCAGCTTGGCTTAATGCTGTTTTAGTTTCCCTTTTCTGTCTGACCCACTTTTTTTTCTTCTTCTGTTTTTCCTGGGGGGAGTTGAGTTTCATATTTCTAAACCCCTGCTATGGTGCTAAGTGGCGTTGGGCCTCCTGGCTATTTTGCCTGCCTGATAATTGAAAAGCTGGCTGAGAGGAGGTGTTTTTTCACACTGCGGTAATATTTTTGTATTAACATAAATTGCAAACCTACTTTTTTTCACCACATACGTGTAAATATATTGACAGGAAGGACTACATGTAATCCATTTTTTTTCATGGGCTGTTTCTAAATGTAAAATGTGACTTCCTCATGCTAAGTTAAATACGTGCACAGCATTTACATACAGGTACCCGGTAACATTTTAAAATTGATTATGCAGCATAAAATATAAACATGTAATAAATATACATTATATAATGCCAAAAGTATATTTGGCAAAGCTGGCCATAATGTACATGCATTTGGGCATTTCCACACTAATGGGCCAATTAGATAAGTTTATGGATGTTGCGTATAAAGGGTAAAAGATGAGCTAGTGTTTTCTTCAGTTTTTTCCTACACCTTGCTTAGTTGAAAGTGAGTAGGACAAGACAAGACAAAAGATGAGGCCCATTTGTGTGGAATTGCCCATTTGGAAGACATCGAGATTGGGAGACTTCTTAAAGTTGTTTTTAAGTGAACATTTGTTTGCATGGACTGTACCGTACATGTACATAGTGTGCAGTGGTATTCAAATGGTGCAATCTAAAATTGTGATCAACTTACATGTACATATAAATGCATAGTACATGTACATGTAAATGCATACATGTACATTGTACATGTAGTTGATGCATCCTTGATTTTTTTTCAGAAATGTATGATTCTGAGAATTTATATGAATGTCTGACTTTAAAAAGAGAAAAAAAAAAGCATTCCATTTGGTGCATGTACATGTATGTATTGTGCTTGTATACATGTACAATGTACATGACGGTATCTACATGTACATGTACATGTACTTGTTCCACAGACTTCTTTGTCCAGAAGTATTATCTTTTCATATAAATACAATATTTCTGAGGTCAGCCAAGAGGCACTATACGAACTTGCCAATAACACTAAGCCCAAGGGTATTATGTATTATCAAGAAATACAGAAATACGTGTACATGTCCATGTACAATACTTTTGTAGTAATCTCATGGGCCTTGGATGGGGACATAAAGAAGGACTATAAATCCTGCAATTTAGATAATGAGTGATTTGTTGCAAGGTCAACATTACGTTCACTCATTGTTGTATGTTGGTATAGAGGCAATACATACATGTACATGTACATATAATAGACAGCCCATAACCTCTGTTTTATTTCAAGCAAATTGTACCGGTACGTGTACATCTACAATTATCTTCAAAGTTATCATAACTTACCAGTACATGTACATGTACAAAATGAACGATGTTCTTTATAAAGTGTTTTGTAAAAGGGGGAAATACATGTACCGGTACATGTACCATAGACAATGTCACCAGAGTCACCCGTGATGTGCAACCAACAGGCAATACCCAAACATTTAAGCATTATTGTACAGTGAATGTTATTTTGCCCAAATCTAACACGCGTACATGTATGTCAACATTTGTATACCATTTATATATGTATGTACGTAGATTCTGTTAACAAGTTTAAAGGTCGACTATATGAACGTACATTGTGTACATGTAGATTTAAAACAAGTTTAAAATAAAGGTCAACTTCCAACATAAACATGGTTTATATTGTTCCACAGTCAATCATCCAATCTTTATTGTTGAAGTGTGCTTCTATGGAAGTGTGTTTATTTGGAGCCTCATATTTACATGTACAAGAAAAAAAATAATCATAATGAACACAAAAGCATTATGATTAAATTGCATGCCTCCAAATAAACTGCGGGGTCAATGTTGCCTTAGTCTTTGTTTTACAATGTACACTACTAACAGTAGAGTAAAACAAATACCCTTTGGCAAATCTACAAACGGACAAGGACTTTCTCCTCACAACAGCAGGATTTGCTACACCAATGGCAGCTTCTCTGTTGTTACTGTGAAATTCTCGTATTGAAAAACTGCAGACCCAATTTATTAAGTCTTCATGTAAGGATGCGAACCACTTAACCCGCAATAAAAGTTTTGCCCCGAAAACAGGAGGACCGACACTCTCATTTACTCAGCATACAATACTTGTGTTAAGTTAGTTTGATGAAATTTGATTATAAATGTCACAAGGATAACATGTCCAAGCACACTGTATCTTAAGCTGTACAAACCCAAAGTGGTGAAGCCCTACTTTCGAGGTGATGAATTCAAGAAGATTTCATAATTATGGTACCGGTACGGTATGTCGTGTGCCATATACATAGTTATGCATCAAGAACAACCTTACATGGTCACCGCCTTATGGGGAAGTTTTTATTGTCAGGCAAATTAGGACCGAGTTGTGGGGACTTTCTGCTGTCCCCACAGCGTCTTCGGTCCCCATAGTACCATGGAACAAGTCGTGTGTAGTCCCCTAAACTACGGACCAAGAAAAAAAATAAAACTACCAAATCATTTTGAAATACCTTGCTGGACTGTTAGTGAATGACAGTGTAAAGCATCCTGTAAAATCATGGCACCTGGTATACTGTCATTTTCAAGAAAAGTGGTATTTTTGTATCAATTTCCAACGCTGGTCAGCCGACCAGCGTTGGATAAAACTGGCTTTTTTTCAAATACTGGCCCCAATTGACCATCGCACTTGTTTGCAATCGATTACACACCTATGAACGGGTACAAGCCAGCTAGACTGGTTCCCTGACCTTACAATTTCCCAATGTATGTAAACTGCTCTGTTTCTTCTTATATGGAGTCAGGGAACCAGACTACAGGAAAATGATTGTTTTTCTTGGTTTTTATAGCATTTTCGAACCCAAAACCTCAAAAAAGTCAGTGTAACTACATTTGCTATACATTGTATATTTCCAACCCCCCAATTCCATCCATTTCTGAAAATTACAGCAAAAGCAAATGATGTAACATTTTATGTCAAACAATATTTCTTCATCCTCTTCCTCATAAAAACTTTACTATGGTTCTTTTAAAATGGTCACTAAAATCAGACCTGTGATTTCTAAATCACTACAAATTAAACTGCACCCCATAAGGCCAAAAAAAAGAGGGTTCCGGTTTCTGGTATGCGCGCGCGTCGCCGTAGCCATGCGCGTCGGCAAAATGAAAAAGGTTTTTTTCAATGAAAGATGATGTCTCAAAACCGCCAAACTCACTGGTTTGACTGGAATCCTGCTGCTGCACAATTTTAACGTGTTTTTAGATGGGGTTACGATTGAGTATAAGCTTTATGTGGCCTCTCTGGGCTCCCATATATTTTGCACTGAGTTTAGTCGGGCACCATTTGCAGTCATCAGGCGAAATTTGAAGAAAAAAAAAGTGAGAAAAAAAAAAAAAAAAGCCGCGTCACCGCACCACTTTTGGGGCAAGCTCCATACCATAAACCGGAGATTTTTTTTTTTGTGGCCTAAGCAAGGACATTGACAAAAACGCAGAACCGCCACCAAAGGCCTGGATAGCTCAGTTGGTAGAGCACTGGAATAACAATCCGGAGGTCGCACTCCAGTCAATTTCTGTTGACCCAGTTTGACTAGTCACAGTGCTTCCTTGACATATGATCTGACTGCTGGTGACTAGCCTTTGTTAAAAGTATAGCAGGGGAAGTGGAAGTGAATTGTGACTGTCTGTGACTGTTTGAAATGGCAGGAGGTATAATAAAATTTAAAAAACCAATGTGATGTCAAACTGAACCCTTCTTTATTTATCATTTTCAAATATTTAGGGTAATAAAGGTGCAGTTTGATTTATCTCCTACATGTACAAGTACATGTGCTCTACATTTTGTGAGCTGTATAACATTCATGTGTCTCGAACTCTTATTTAGCTGAGGAAGCAGTTTTCCCTTTTTCCCCAACCTTTTCCGTCCCCGTTTCTCACTGGACCGCTGCGACTGCCACTCACCTGCTGTTTCTGCTCTTGTTGCTTCAGGAATTTGAGTCGTTGTTGCTTGGCAACCAGCGTCTGTTGCTGGGCCTCAATTTGGTGTTGTTGCCGGTCGGCCATGTCCTGGAGCTCGCTCAGTGACAGGTCAACGCCGGGCGGAATCTGGAATGAGACCAAAGCCAATTTTTTTTTTTTTTAAAAGGTGATTTTTTTTTTACTGCATTTAATAATCACTTGAATCACCTTTGTGCTTCTGCAAAGTGAACTAAATAAAACTAGGGCTTGAACTATTCTACACACAAATCAAAGAGCAGTATGTAGTTCCGGGTGACGTCAAACTTTTAGATTATTGGAAGGTCATGATCTCTTCTGCGGCAAATCGAACCCCACACTGAGCCAATTGTGATCGCAAAATGCTGTGAGAAAAACACCATACTCCCACTCGTAATCATGAGGCATCTGAATAATAAGCAAATAATGTCTAATTTAACACAAGAAGGTGACCTCAAAACACCAGTAATTGCATAAAATATCAAGGTAATAAATACATAAACAAAAGTATGGTACCAGTATGTTAATACTGGTACATGTTGTACCTTGCAAAAACAGATGAGATGTGGTTGGTACCAGTATTAAATTAATGTACATGTACATGTACATATTTGTATTACCCCGACAAATACGGGGCTGCTGGTTCATTTTTATAAAATCAATTTATGATTTGGATTTGATACAAAATATTTAGTAACTATTTTGAATAAGGTAAGGTAAATACATGTACGGTAGATAAAGTACATTGTAACTTTTACTTTACAAAATGTATTAGCCATACCTGTACCTGAACATGTACATGTACAATAATACAAATATGTACAACCTTTGATAGACTCCTCAGTCCAGTCAAACATACCGTATTACCAACAAAAAAAAGCAACAACAACAAACGTTATGGACTTTGATCATATGAGCAAATAACAACCAACATGTACCGTACATTGCAATGTGTGCGCGATATGCTGTGTACTGATCTACACGTATCGGTACATGTACACGTACCGGTATGTGCTGACAAGAAGAAACACCATTTAGAAAATCATATCTCAAATGTAAAGCACAAATTAACCGAGACAGTGTTCCTTTTAAGCACAAAATTATTCTTTATGATGTAAAGAAGTTGTCTCTGACACTGGGGCATACAAATCTTGGCCAACTCCCAAACAACACTTTAGAGTAGATCAAGTCCACAGTTCCAAGCACAGAATCACCTTTACTTCAGAAAGGCACACAAACCAAAATCCCAACGCAATTAGTCCACACTATCACAATTTATCCCTGGGATGAAATGGCAAGGCATTTGCAGATCCTCTCCCGAGAGTTGTCGAAAACAACACAACCAATAAAATACAATCAACTGCAAAATATCCCAGGCAGAGTAAAATTGCAGCCGACAACTGTTACTCCTGATTCATAACCCGGGCTCCCCGAGCCGGTTCCCTGCAGACTTACCAGGAAGTCTCCGCACACAAGAGAGCTGGGGCAGGCCGGTAACCGACAATAGACTGTGTCCTCGTCGTTTTTGTCTGTCTGTATCTCATCCTTGGTATAAAATCCATTTACTGCTCCCCAGCCTCCATAAAAACAGGCACTCGGGCTGAAACTATTCATTGCAAATGTGCTCGCTGCTCTTTTGTGGCAATCAAACAGAATGCAAAATCCAAAAATATTTTTGAGCAGAGAGTCAGCGAAGACTGCTGCATTGGAGCAAAAGGTGGAAGAGGCCGAATGAAAAAAAAAAAATCAAATCTTGGCAAAGCGGGAATGAAATTTGATAGAATAAGAGGTCAGTGGGACACCCGCTGGTGAGCACTGATTGAAAACTGGTGCCGGGGAGAGGAACTCTGGTAACATTGTCTTGGTTGACGTACTGACGATGAGAAGTCATCCAGGCCTCTGGGTTCAGGACCTGGCAAGTGGGTGGTGCAACCAGACGAATCGTCTCAGAGGATTTCCAGTGTGGGGTTGGGTTTGGGTAGGGACTGCTGCACTCTGCATAACTTCACACCCTGGCTCGGAATGTTTTCTTTTCAATTTTAAGAAAGGCCCGGAGGATTATTGAAAACCACATGTACATTTGTACATTGAGCAAATGTGCTTGTGGTGAATCTCATTCAATTATGAAATGTTAGTTTTGAAGTCATTTAAATTAAACAGTCACAACATTCAGAGCAAGTTATTAAATTTGACAGACAGTGGGTACACATATTTCATAGTCACAGCTCGGGCATTTTGCTACCATGTTGTGTCCAAACGAAAAATTCATGGGCTCAATCAACTTTTGCACTGTAACTACATTCTATTACGATTATGAAAGAGTTTTGATGTATGAATGTGATAGCTCCAAAATGGATTTAGCTAGTTCATTTCGTTCCAGCTGTTTTTGTATACTTCTGCACTACTTGCACTGTACCGGTACATGTACAGTGTATGTTAACACCACAATAAAAAGCAAGACCTGTACATGTAACACATACCAATGTAGCAATTCTTAATCACAATGAACCTGAACATGCCAGTTTTATTTACAATTATTAATACCAAAACACTGCACAGGTTGTAAAAAAAATGTAAATATATCCTCTTTGACTTCTCATCACTGACACATGCACGCAACCACAAATTAAAAAACGCAAGTTTCTCCGCTGATTAAAAAAAAAAAGGGTAGGAAGAGACAAGATCCATTTTCTCGGGAGGATGCGCGCATTAAGAAATGAGGCGTCGATGCTGAAAAGCATCTCAGAGAGTTGATAAATCACACCACGTACACTGTGCCAGGTCCCGCATCCTGTAATCTGAGAAGACTCCAAAGCTTTCTCTGTCTGTCAGCGCGATGCAATCTCCCGCGCCACATCAATTTGCTCTCTTGCTTGGATTTTATTTCTTCTTTTTTTAGGTTACTGGTGAGGTACACGTAGTAAAAAAGGCCAAATGCGCATCGTTGGATGCTTTCTCCATAAAGAATGAACTCTCGTAAAAAAAAAAAAAATCCATGCGTTATATCATCCGAGATGGATGTTTTACAGCTGGTGACTATCATCAGGAATTATCACTCCTGCTTGAAAGTAATTTTTCTTTCTTCTCCAGCCATCCATTAAGTTTTTTTTTCCCAGGGGGATATCTTTCACATTGCTGTTCACAGACAACAAATTTAGCTAGCAGTAATGCATTTCTGGGCACTAGGGACTAGTCCGACTAGAAGAGGCACACTGTTTGTAAGGACGAACCTTGGCAAACCAGAACTGTATTTAATGGAGGGGGGGGGGACATAATGAGTAAGCACCTACAATGTATGTACCTGTTCATGTAACATCCTTTCATTTCTGCAATTATCTGCTTTGTGTTTGACTTGACTTTAAATGAACGTACAAATGTATATAATAATAATAATAATAATAATAATAATAATTTGGGAGGCTACTCATCCTTACTCACAGCTAGTTATGCTGAATTGCCAAGGACGCGGCTACAACGTGGTCGGGCCGCTGGCACGTAAAGGCGCCTATGGCTGCCAGCCACATCGACCCATATATGACCACAGAGCACAGCCTGAGATCGAAAGTGTTTGATTTTTCCGGAGGGAGGAAAACCGGAGGGCCCGGAGAAAAACCCACGTGGCACAGGAGAGAACCAACGCACAACTCTACTCACATGCGATCCGCGGCCAGGATTCGAACCGTGGTCACCTTGGTGAGAGGCAAGCGCTTTGCGCACAAGCCACCCATGCCACCATATATGCACCGGTGCTAGTGGTAGTGTACAATATCTACGTAAATGTAAAAAGGCATTGGCATATACAGGAACATTTATGTACATGGGTAGGAAAAGTTGGTAACTGCTTGGAAATGTTTTAATTTACACATTTAAGCACTGTACAACTTGGTGGAAAGCACAGCCGCAACGGAGAAAGCAGGCAAGCAGCCAGAAAGTTTATACGATATGAAGATGAAATTCCAAACTTTACAAAACTTTATACTACAGTGGTTTTCATTATTTTTTTTTTACAGCATAAGAAGTGAAAAACAAGCAAATACAGTAAGATGAGAAAGATTTGAGACAGCAAATTTACGCCCTCGGCCTTCCTTCTCCCTCCTATACTAGACAAATCTTCTCCGCATCATTGAACATGACAAGCCACCCCCTGCCAGCATCTTGACAGTAATTCCAATCAGATTTTTTTTGTACGGAACACAAATCAATGTTCAGAGATGAGCAATATGCCGCTGTGCTCAGTAATAAAAGGAGAGAGATTAGCACTGTGAGGGAATCATACGCATGGCTACCGATGCACTAAATCAATGCTTGTTACGACTTAAAGAATATATGTAGAGAGTAAAGCGATGAGGTACATGTAACATGCGCTGATAGGCTACATAATATATGTTTATAGTATTTGTAACACGCTAGAACTTATCACGTTGGAGAGGTCACAAAATAAGGTTTTTTTTGTAACGCTTTATTACGTTTGTCCATCGTTCTACCCGTGTACTTAATTTGTTTACTTGGAATTCGAAACCCCCTAGTACTTCCTCAGGACTACCCTGCTAAATCCAACAGAGTCCAACCAGACTTTCCTGTTCAATCCACTGTGCCTCATTTTCAGTTGTCTGCTGAATCTAACGGAGTCCAACAATGCGTTATAATGCGGTTCAGTTGCCTGCAGAATCCAACATTTTGCATGAGGAATGTACACAAGGGGTTTACTGCTCAATCCAACAGGCTGCATCGGGTACCGGTATGTGACATACATGTAGTTGGATCCTGTTGGATTCAGCAGGGTTAGGGTTAAGGAGATTCAGGAATGTTCCTGAATTTTTTTTTGTCCTGTACATGATGTAGGGAAATACGGTTTTAAGAAGGCAGCGTATAATAATGTGTTCATAAAAAAAAAATCAATATTATAAACTTTACTTTCATATCACCTACATGTACATGTACATATAATTACCCACTTGAACCAACTTACATGTACCTAAAGAATACTGCATGCGCCACCCTTTACTACTTTCTTATCTATCAAACTTTTCCTCAATTTTTCACCAGGTGATAATTTTCAACCTTTGCCCCGCCATAAAATCAACCCTAGCTTCAGCGAGATGGCTGCTCTA